CTCTTCTAAACAACATGATCCTCCAACCACTGTCCTACCCTCCCTCCCCTTTCTGCTGCAACTCAGCAAAGCCGAAGGCGTAGCTCCATCAGCAGTGCCTGCGACACCTAGAAGGGCTGAGAATCTATACAAAGTTGACCTCTCCGCTGCCCCTTGGCTGGCCAAACAACCTAAGCCAAATTCTATCGTAGTAGATGTCAGCCAACCTCGACCCCCACAGAGGTCTCAAAGCGCCCCCTCTGACAAAGAAGGCAAAAAGCTAAAGAACTTAGGGGGAAAGATCTATGCTTCAGCCTGCCTCGCCTCCAGAATGGCGCACTATGGAGCATATATGGCAGGCTACCAAGAGTACCTATGGAGCAAGGTAGCTGGATACCTGGACATGCTCCCACCAAATGAACAAATGCTAGCAAGAGCTTTCCACCAAGAAGCTTCACTATTGGCCTCCTTTCAGAAGGACCTAGCCAAACACACCGCAGATGCAGCGGGCAAACTCCTAGCAACAGCGGTTGCCTTACGTCGCCATGCGTGGCTTAGGGCCTCAGGCCTATCCCAATCAGCCAGAACAGTGATAGAAGACCTCCCAATGGATGAGGCAGGTCTCTTTAACCCGTAGACGGACTCACAATTAGAACACACCCAGAAAATGAGACAGACGGCTCACAAATATGGCTTCTCTCCCTACCTGTCGCAGCACCACAGACAGTACTGGCCGAATCGTTTTCAACAACACCGTAGACGCTACAGCCCTCCAAACTTCAGAGGACGTCAACGCCCCTCTGCTCCACCAGCATCTACCAGAAAGCCGTCTCTGCCATACAGAAACTAGCAGCGTGGTGGAGGTAAACAGCCAGAAGCGCCGCTTCTAGCCCCCAGGCCAGAAGCCAATCGCCAGTTACCTCATCAGTTCTACAGTTTCAAAGTTCCACAGTTGGCTCCGTTGAGCTAAGTTCTTTGTTTGAGGGTTCCTTATCCTGCGATAGTTACCTGCCACAACATTCCCAGGGCACCTTCCGGGACCGGTTGGCCCCTTTCGTGCATGCTTGGAGAAGAATAACAACGGATTCTTGGGTCCTTTCCATCGTGGAGCATGGCTACGCCATAGAATTTGACTCTCACCCCCCCCCCCCCATGGGGGTATTGAAATTTACACCATCCTCCCCACAGTTGCAAGAAGAAATTTCCACCCTCTTAGAGAAGGGAGCCATCTCCAGAATCCACCCTACGGAGTAATAGTCTGTGAAATTCGCACATCCCCGCCCGTCCTCCCCGCAATGGTCATGCTCGTTTCTACAACTGCTGATGGCGGCTGCGGAACTGAGCCGAGGCTCCTGCCTTGGGTACTTATAGTATTGGGGAGTATGGGCGGGGCGTCCGCCGAAAAGTGTCTATTTTAAATTCTAGAAGGTTCTGAACAGCTGCGCATGCGCAGAATAAAACCCATTATGTGCGAATTTCACAGACTATGACTCGTGGAAACGCAGTTGCAGGTAAGCAACCTGCATTTTCCGAGCCAGTTTCCTCACAAAGAGAACCATCATTTCCCAGACTTGAGGGCCTATCACTTTGTGCCACAAGAAAGCTAACAATCCCCTCTAAATCATCAGTTAAACCATCAGTCCCTGGCTGATCTACAACAATGGGTTCTTTTAAAAAAATGCAACCCTATACACAACTGCTATTAACTTATTTAGGCCTAGATATGTATTACTGTGGGTTTCCTTATTTACCCCACTTGGACTTCCCTGCCCATCCTTTGTTGATTTCGGTTATATTTCAGATTAATATCCTTGCAGCAAGCTCCTGGTACCTTGAAAAACATCATTACATACTGATGCCACTCTTTAAAATGTCATTATATGTTTATCTATCTAGGAAGCTTGTCCTAGCTAGTATGAACATATGATATTATATAGTGAATAACTTACACAATGACTGAGCTGACTTTGCTCTCATTTGATCTCCTTTCTTCTATTAAAATCCCCATTTCCGTGCCCATCTGTTAATATTTTAGGAAAAAACCATTCTTGGGATCTTTTACAACAAAAGCATATTTCATTTATGTTCAGCAAAGTAGATTATTTTTACTCTAACAAGCAACCTCCACAGTTTGACCCTACAAGTCCAGCTCTTTGGCTACTTTCACCCATCCTAATCGTTTAGCTTTTAGACCCCTCTCTATATACTCTGGACCCCAATATATACTAGCCAAGTTGTGTGGTAAATGTTGGCAAGGTGTGACGGAATCACATTAATTCAGAGAGAGAGAGAGAGAAGGAGATGTATAAAATTATATTTAATATATAATAAGTTAAACATCTAAAATAGACTGGCTTCCCAATCCACACATCCTATTGTGATATGAGAATTAAAATTCTGGTCTCCAGAGTCATAGTCCACCTCTAGCCACTACTCTACGCTGTCACTCTATTTTATTTCACAGAGAAATTATGCATATTCTTTTTATTGCCTGTCCTAAATAGTAGGTATTTCCTGAGACATGAGGCCTTGATACAAAATGTGACAATAGGTGGCTGTATGTTTAGAGCCATGTCATTCTGATTTTCAGTGGCCATTGCTGTTAATTAAAAATCCTGAGGCAAGAGCTGGTGTGTGCAAATTGTAGAGACTTTGGAAGAGCTATCTGATCAAATGCTATTTAATATTTTGTGACAGAACTCTATTACAGTTTTATTATACCTTGAAATAAAGGTGGAAGGAAACAAATAAAAGTGTAGAAATTAAGGTCTGAAAAACCACGTACTTAAGAAATCAGCTTAGCCAACAGACCAGCTGTGAATACTAAACCTTGACATAATCCCAGAAAAAAATAGAATTACTCTTGTTCTTAGTTGTGTTTAGGTTTACTAAGTGGATTATAAGCAGCTGATTACCACAGATTTATTTCTCTTAAATTCAGTTTCCAGGAAGAATGGTTTGTTCAGCTAATCCAACTGGAATCAATCAAATTCAATTACCTTTCCCCATACAGAGCTGGTAATATCGCTGGATAATAATCTTTTTTTTATTTCTGAATGCTTCATCCCAATAAAGTCATTGACTTTTATGCTGAAAGGCTTTTTGGAAAGTCATGATGCAGAACAAAATAATGTTATCGCAAAATTCTTGTCTTGTGTCTATTACTTTGTCACACAGAAGGGACAAATTCTACAAAGCAATATCTTTGTTACTTATACCAACCTTGCAAAGGTGATAGACAGCCTGTACAAATGGTTCAAGAAGGGTGGTCCTTTCAGTAGGAACCTTTAAGTTGGACCATATTATTGGCTGCAATCCCCATTTGGTGAAACAATATATAGTTATGACAACATCAGATTGCAGTGGTGATATCATTTCACACCTGGCTACAGGGAAATGCTTCTGTAGTTTTCCAATGTCAGTGCTGCAAAAAAAATCTTGAAAATTAAAGATAAGGAAAAAGGGGGCCAGGTTGCCCTCCCCCATAAAAAAGACCATCATAGTTAAAGATTTTTGTTATATCTTAATTAACAAAAATAATTAACAATGAAGATCTTTTTTATGGAGGAAGGCAACCTGGCCACATTTTTCCTTGTCTTTAATTGGCAAGCTTTTTTTTTTTTTTGGCAGCATTGACATTGGAAAACTACAGAAGCATTTCCCTGTAGCCAGGTATGAAATGATAATATCTGCACTGCGATCTGATGTTGTCATAATTTTATACATAAAGCAAAATGAAGCTACTCGATAATTTGCACAACCCTCTTTATGGACCAGGTTGTGGCGCAGCTGGTTGGGAGTCAGCTACATTAAAATCACTACTGACCAAAAGGTCATGAGGTCAAGACCAGCCCGGGTAGAAGTAAGCTCCCGACCATTTGTCTAGCTTGCTGTTGACCTTTGCAGACCGAAAGACATTTGCATCTTTCAAGTAGGAAGTTTAGGTGCCGCTTATGCGGGGAGGGTAGTTTAACTAATTTAAATTTAAAATCTCCAGCAGCGTGCAAATGAATAAGGAAGTACTCCATCGGTGTCACAAGTAGACAGTGAAGCGACAACTCCCCCGATAGCCGGAATTCGAAGCATACCCTGATGGAGCTGGAAAGTTAAATAGCCTCTGTGCGTCTGTCACCCCTTCGGGGTGAGAAGGGCGGGGTAGAAGTAAACCAAATAATAAATATGTTGTGTGTCTATGGCATTGAATGTTTGCCATGTATATGTGCATTGCGATCCGCCGAGTCCCTGCGGGGTGAAAAGGGCAGGAGCCCCCGGTGGCGCAGTGGGTTAAAGAGCTGAGCTGCTGAGCTTGTTGACTGAAAGGTCACAGGTTCAAACCCGGGAGCGGCGTGACCTTCCGCTATTAGCCCCAGCTCCTGCCAACCTAGCAGTTTGAAAACATGCAAATGTGAGTAGATGAATAGATACCACTCTGGCAGGAAGGTAACAGTGCTCCATGCAGTCATGCTAGCTCTTCGGCTTAGAAATGGAGATGAGCACCACACCCCAGAGTTGGACACGACTGGACTTCCATGTCAGGGGAAACCTTTACCTACTGTAAATAAATAAATATGGGTTGTTATAGGTTTTTCGGGCTATGTGGCCATGTTCTAGAAGCATTCTCTCCTGACGTTTCGCCTGCATCTATGGCAAGCATCTTCAGATAAAATAAAATAAATATGTTACACATTTGAGGCATAACAGGCCAGGAGGATTAAGTCAAGGGCTTTAATCTGCCTTTTTTGGTCAACCAGAAACTAGCAGTTCGAAAGCAGCAATGTAGATCAATTGGAGGAGAGGTAAAAGGCGCCCGTGAAGACAGCACCATTCCCCCACCGTCTCCAATTCTTGTCCTCCGGCTTTGGGGAGGCCCCTTTAAGAAGAACGTCAACAGCCACCCCTCTTCTCTCCGCTTCCTGTTTCCTCTGGTTTGGCGCGAAAAAGTTGCCGGCGTAACATTCGAAAGGGGCGGGGCACCAGGCGCGGAGGCTTCTGATTGGGCGCGGCGCGGGTTGGTGGCGCGAAATCCCTTCCATTCTCCTGGCATTGGCGTGATGGACTTGGCGGCTGCAGGAGAGGCTGGTGCGGCGGCGGGCAACGCGGCGCTCAAGCAGATCCGCGATGAGGTGGCCGAGAAGTGCCAGAAGCTCTTCCAGGACTTCCTCGAGGAGTGAGTGGGCCCTCCCTGGTTTGGGGATCCTGGGAGCTGCAGTCCTCCAGTGCCTCTACCCCAGGTTTGGGCAAACGTGGGCCTTCCAGGTGTTTTGGACTTCAACTCCCACCATTCCTAACAGTCTCAGGCCCTTTCCTTTCCCCCCTCAGCCGCTTAAGCGGCTGAGGGGGGAAAGGAAGGGGCCTGAGGCTGTTAGGAATGGTGGGAGTTGAAGTCCAAAACACCTGGAAGGCCCACGTTTGCCCAAACCTGGGGTAGAGGCACCCCTAGTCTATGCTAGTTTGGTAGCATTCATTAAGCATTAGAGCTGCCTCAGTTGTCTGAAAGGGTCTGATTTGCTCATTTACTCTTTGTTGTTTTTTCTTCTATACTTGCATTACATCTTGAAAATGTTTTTGCAAAGCTCTTCCCTGAAACACTGCCTTTTTCAGGTTCCAGGACAGTGATGGCGGACTTAAATACTTGAGAGATGCCGAGGAGTTGATCCGCCCAGAGAGAAACACATTAATTGTAAGCTTTCAGGACCTGGAGCAGGCTAATCAGCAGCTTGCGACCACCATCCAGGAGGAGTTCTACAGGTGAGACTGTCCCAACTTCTTTATTGACCTGCTTTGTGTGTTATCACTAACTTTATCCAAGGTGTTAAGGAACTTGAAGGTAGTAATAGGTTTGTATCTGTGGGAGATACCTTACTGGACTTCTCATGGGAAAAAGCAAACACTATTGAAATGAACTACTTCTGTTGGATGTTGCCATAGAGTCATCTGGAGGACAGAGGCCCCTTCCACACAGCTGAATAAAATCACACATTTTCCGCTTTGAACTGGAATATATGGCAGTGTAGACTCCGATAACCCAATTCAAAGCAGATATTGTGGGACTTTCTGGCTTGATATATATATGTGGCTGTATGGAAGGGCCACAAGTATCAAGTGAGACTGGCAAAAAAAAAAGCCAGAATCACCTAAAGCATTTCCTATAGAGGACATATTTTGGCAATGAAAAAAATCCCTTTTAATATTTTTTGCTTCCTCAAAGCAACTTTATGAGATTTTTTTTTATCCTGATGAGTGAAATGTCAACTAATCAGGATTTTAAAAAAACAACAAAAAACCTTTGATTTCAGCACATTTTGTTCCAAAAACATGATGTAAAAATAAGATATAAACTATTTATTTATTTATCTCGTTATTTACTTGCAGTATTTATATTCTGCCCTTCTCACCCCGCAGGGGACTCTGGGCGGATATACATTGCAAACATTCAATGCCATAGACACACAACATATATAGACAGACACACAGAGGCTATATAACATTCCAGCTTTTTTCATGAGGGTATTCTGGCCACCACGGGAGCTGTTGCTTCAGGGTCCACTTGTGACACTGATGAAGTACTTCCTCATTCTTTGCATGCTTTGCATGGAGTCGTAAATTAGCCTCCCCGCATAAGCGGTACCTAAATTTCCTACTTGACAGATGCAACTGTATTTGAGGCTGCAAAGGTTGACAGCAACCTACAAAATTTGTTGGAAGCTCACTCCGACTCGGGCTGGCTTCAAACTCATGACCTTTTGGTCAGTAGTGATCTTAATGCAGCTGACTCCCAGCCAGCTGTGCCACAGTCCCACCACAGTTCTTTTGAAGTCAAATACATTTGTTGGCTTGCTCGTTTAAACTTTGCTAATAAGGTACACTCCCATGCACTTCAATGCCTTTTGAAGAAATTCTTAAGTCTAAAGCCAGAAAAGTTTGTATCACTAAAATCTTGCTTTCGTTTCAGAGTCTATCCTTACTTATGTCGAGCTGTAAGGACATTTGCCAGAGACCACGGAAATGTCCCTCCCAACAAGGACTTCTATGTGGCTTTTCAAGACCTGCCTTCTAGGCACAAGTAAGCATCTCTGAAGATAGTGAGCATGAAGTGTGGTTTCTATTGGGAAGATAAAAGTATTCAGCTTGGCAAGAAGATCCATTGTGAATGCTGGATCACAGTTCAAGACCTCTGAACATATAGGGCACCAGAGCAGATTGTCCTATTGCTTTAGCTATGTGTGAGGGTTTTTTGTATAGCCTATCTCTCTTGTTTATTACTTTTCATGAGTGCTGAGGTTTTTTTTGTTTGTTTTTTGTACATCTTATCTCTTATGTATCCTCTTGTATATTAGCTCCTCTTTTATGGTGGCATGGTTAATTCAAAAGGAGTGATGCCACCTCACGAAACTTTGGGGACATCATTTCTTTTTTTATGGACAATGCTGGCTCTTCTGCTTAGAAATGGAGATGAGTACCACCCCCCAGATTTGGACTCGACTAGACTTAACGTCAAGGGGAAACGTTTACCTTTATCTTTATATGTTCTTTGCCTAGTATTTTAGGGTTAGGTTAAGATCATATAACATTTTAAACTGAAAATATGTGACGACCATATAAGGTTCATAAATGTTTTCTCGTTACTGTGTATGTGAGTGAGAATATAAATGAAAGTCAACAACTCATGTTCTTTGGAACATTGGAACCATCATCAGGGGCATCTACACTGTAAAATTAGTACAATTTGACACCACTGTAACTGCCACAGTGCAATGCAATGGAGCCATGGGAGTTGTAGTTTCCTGAGACAATCTTTGGCAGAGAAAAAAAAATCATATAAAACTACAACTCTCAGGACTCTATAGCACTGAGTCAGGGCAATTCAAGTGGTGTCATACTGCATTAATTCTTTTTTTCTTTTTTTGTAGATGCACTTACAAATAACATTATCCACCAATGTAAGCACAGAAGATACCTTCTCATTCATAGCTAAAGAAAAATTGTACTTACCAAACATAACTGTCTGTAGGAAGCAATAGGTTGTAGTGGAGCTTGTAATCACTGATATATGTGTCTGGCTTGTGGAGGAAAACATTCAAGATGGCTTTATTCTCTCAACAGAATCCGAGAAATGACATCGGCTCGCATTGGCTCACTGATGTGTATTAGCGGGCAGGTGGTTCGCACCCACCCTGTCCACCCGGAGCTGGTAAGTGGGACCTTCCTGTGCCTGGATTGCCAAACAGTGATCAAAGATGTGGAGCAACAGTTCAAGTACACACAGCCCAACATCTGCAGAAACCCCGTCTGTGCCAATAGGAAGCGATTCCTTCTAGACACCAACAAGTCACGATTCGTTGACTTTCAAAAGGTAATTGAATAACAATTCATTTTCACCTAGTTTTTCTGAAGTTGACTTACTATTGTGGAAGTGTGATGTAGCATCTGGGTTGGCTTTTCAGGAAGCAATGGAGTAGATATAATGGCAAGCCTTTGTTTGGTGTGATAGTAACTAGTTTTTAAGAATGCCAAGACTTCGGTACATGTTGCTCTTTGTCTCCTCTTATTCTTTGTAAGAAGCAAATTACAGGTTGCTATTTTATTTTACCACCATAGAAGCCATGTTCTGTGCTTGCCATGCACATCACGATTCGAATTCAGGGTTGAAAAACAGTTTTCAGTTCAGTGCAAATACCAAGCTGAGTTTTCTCATTTTGAGAAAAAAACAGACAATTAGAATCATGTTAAACAGCAAAAACCGCTAAAGACTATCTTGTAGGCTTCCTGATCTAACAAACCCAGATTCAAATTAAAATCCCCATTCAACTATGAAAGTTACTGATTGGTGGTTTTGATTTTCTTTTTTTGCAAGTGGCGAAACATTCATTTAAAAATAAAATACGTGTTGATAGCTTTGGTAAGGTACTGCCATAACAACAGTCTGCTTTAGACTTGAAAATGTTTTGTTTGCTTAATTCAAGTAAATTAGATTGAGACAGAGTGAGAGTATTTCTGCTATTAAGAGCAATTTTCTGTGGTGAACATGGTTTAAATTGATCTATTTTTACAGCACCATGTGAAAGACTGTGCACACAGTGTGCCATGCAAACATAGACAGTATTACTCACAGGACAGTGGGATCAATAGTTACCCGGAGAGATGTTGAGGCAACCTGGTGTTTTACCTGTAGGAATTAATCAATCTTTAAATGTTTTCAAACCTTACACAAATCATATATTCATGTATTTATACCCAGAATAAAAAAGATCACAGATATAGAACATACATTTATCTACTTTTAAAGAAGAAAACTGCCAACAAAGAGCTATTTTTAGCACAAGTGATAGAGCACTATTATCTTTTTTCCACCCAGACCCCTTTCCACACAAGAAATCTTTACCTGACCCATTGAATATAGATATATAAAATACCAAAATTAAACATTTACTGATAATAAATCAGCATGTGCAAGGCATGCTAAACAGGCTGATTTTTTTAATGAAGTACAGCTGAAGCATTTTCTGCAAAGTCCAGTGTAAATATTGCACAACAGATTAGTGAAAATAAGTGGTGTTCAGAAACTGTTGCCATTTTGGAGGGATCTTTTCACTGTGAAGTGAGCTTCCTTTGGTGTGTTTTTTTTTTTTTTGTCTTTTCTATTGCAGCCTCAGTCTCTCTCCTTTTTTCCCCACAAAGGTACCTGCTAACATGACAGAAACAATATTCTTTTTGACAGTGCTCCCCATGAGATTTGCCCTTTCTTTAGGAGAAGCTAAAATGCTTGCAAAGGTCAACATGGCCCCCTGTGTATTGGCTTCTTTTTGCTTTATGTATTTGATCGATATTAGACAAGGTGCCATATGTTTTGGTCTCAGAACTATTGGGTTGAATTTTGCCCTTTTCAAGTTCTGTATCCCTTTCTTCCCTCTCTTACCAGGTCCGTATTCAGGAAACCCAGGCCGAACTCCCTCGGGGGAGCATTCCTCGTTGTGTTGAGGTGATCTTGCGTGCGGAAGCCGTGGAATCAGCCCAGGCTGGGGACAAGTGTGACTTCACCGGTTCCCTCATTGTGGTGCCTGATGTGGCTCAGCTCTCCACCCCAGGTCAGTGGGGTCCTTCCAAAGCACTGCAGCGTTAGAGACCACCCTCCAAATGTCTCTATTCTACCAGTTTGGAAAATCTCCTGGTGTTTTTGATCCTATACTTTTTCCTCTACATGCTGCTAGAATGTGACTCCTAAAATTGCATGTGGCCCTTGGATTGTGACATTCCCTATCATTTATCTATGTACAGTGAAAAAGCTTATTATGTAATCCCATTGAACATGGTTTCATTTATACATGAAGGGGTTTGAATGACAGAATTTCTCCAGAGGACCTTTAAAATGTCTAGAGAAGCATTCTCTCAGCCTCTAGCTTTACTGTACCGTTTGTTATTATTATCACACTATGTAACACAATTTTTGTTCCTGGGTTATAAATGTCATTTCCTAATTGGTTCTATCATAAAAACATGGGGAAAGTTTATTAAACTTTAAAAACTTTGTTTTGCGGAACATCCAGCAGTACATTTTGTTACGGTTTTTCCGTTAATATCTCATTAAGTCTCAACCAATTCAACATAGTTAGTGGCAGCAACAAAAACAATGTTCCTGGAGTATAGCAACTGGTTTAAAATTAAGTACCAAACAATTAAACAGGAAATAACATTTTCAAATCAGGAACATTTTTTTCAGATTTTCTTAGATAGTATTATTATTCCATTGTCAACTTCCATTAGGAATTTGGCTGGAAGTTAATCATAAAATTGCACTGGAGACCTGGAAAGAACACTACTTTTTTCACAAAAAAAATATTATTTTTTTAAAAATGCAACTTAAATCCAACAAAGACTTCTCTAGGCATTTCTAGATACCCCAGAGTGATTCTATGGTATGCTTTGTCCAAAAGCTCAGGACTGTTCATTTCAAGTTAGAAAAATGGGGTTCCAGATTGCATGAAAATTATATTACTGGAATGGAATGAATCCCTTGTATAATACACAGGTGTACTATATTTATGTTTAGAGCTCTGTCTCTTTGGGATGCAAGTTGAGAATCATAAAAACCTTATATATATGGAAGGATTGACACCCCTGTGACGTTTGTATTGCTGCCTGTGCCCCTATTCAGAAGATTTCATCTAGCTTTCTGACCCTTTGACAATTTGATTTTGGAAAAATTGGATTGTTGTAGAAACAAGAATTGGTGCTAAAACTTCGGTAGAGACACCTATTCGCCATGATATCTCTTCCAGGAGTAAATTTCCCTTCTGAGGGGTAGAGTCTTTTCACTTCCTGTTGTCTCTCCCCCTGATGTTTGTAATTCTGTAAGTTTGATGTTTGTATATGCATTTGGGGAATGAACAAGCAATTGAGAATATAAGGTGTGCTCTCTGTGATGATGGGTTCTCAAGTGCTGATGGATATATAAATAAATAAAATAAATTTAAGAGTCAAGTGTGCCATTCCTTCCTGCATTTTGAAATGTTGCTTTTGTAGGACTGTTGTTTCTCTTCTTTATGGATGTGTATAAGAGAGATTATTCCCAAGGGTTCCTTGTGCTGATCTTAGGTCTTGGTTTCCTAGGTGTGAGGGCAGAAACTAGTTCTCGTGTGGCTGGGAAAGAAGGTTATGAAACAGAAGGCATCAGAGGACTTCGAGCACTGGGCGTTAGAGAGTTATCCTATAAGCTGGTCTTTCTAGCTTGTTATGTTGCACCAACAAACCCACGGGTAAGATTTTTTAAGGAAAATAGATTTAAAAAGTTTTAAAGAAATTTAATTAGCCTCTTACTTCCTTCAATATTGAAACGTACAATGAATTGCTCTCTTTTCACCAAACCCATGTTGCTGTAATTGTGCATATAATTTCTCCTTTCATGCCAGTGATTACAATCTAGAGCTACAAGTTCATTTTGTTTCCTTGCAGTTAGCAAAAATAATCCTTTCTTCCTAAGGCTTTGTACTTTCCTTTATCAAGCCAAAATTGACTTTCCTTAATGAAACTATCTTCTAGTCTATGAAGTAAGTAAAACTAAAGGTTTTACCCTGATATTAAGTCTAGTCGTGTCCGACTCGGGGGGGGGGGGGGGGGGGGCTCATCTCCATTTCTAGGCCAAAGAGCCAGTGTTGTCCGTAGGCGCCTCCAAGGTCATGTGACCAGCATAACTGCATGGAGTGCTGTTACTTTCCTGCTGAAGCCGTACCTAGTGATCTACTCATATTTGCATGTTTTCAAACTGCTAGGTTGGCAGAAACTGGGGCTAGCAGCGGGAGCTCACCCTGTCCTGTGGATTCAAACCACCGATCTTTCGGTCAGCAAGTTCCACAGTTTAGCGGTTTCACCCACTGCGTCACCCCTCATTGTGTATTTATATGCAAATACAGTGATATATTCATATTTGCATATTTTCGAATTGCTGGGCCTAACAGCTCACCCCACTCCCCAGATTCGGACCGTCAACCTTTTGGTTAGCAAGTACAGCAGCTCAGTGGTTTAACTCATTGTGTCAGCAAGGGCCCAGTCTATTCAGTATTTTCACATATTTGTAACTTTCTTTGGTTTTAGTTTGGTGGCAAAGAGCTACGAGATGAGGAGCAGACTGCGGAAAGCATTAAAAACCAGATGACAGTAAAGGAGTGGGAAAAAGTGTTTGAAATGAGCCAGGATAAAAATCTCTATCACAACCTTTGCACCAGTCTCTTTCCTACCATACATGGTAAGGCCTGGTTACAGCATTATATATCTGTGGCTAATATTATGTTAGGTCTATGTAAAAACTCTGATAGACTGAATCATCCAACACACATTTGTCTCAGTAAAGGCTTCACCCCTTTTGAGAGAAAAAGGGATAAATATCATTAAAGTTTCTAGCATTGTGTATGTAGGCTCATGAGTGACTGTGTATAAGAGAAAGTGCAGCAGAGAAAGATGGTAGTATCAAAGTTGTAGAGTACTTAAAAGCTGCATAACTACCACCCGTGATTTCAACCCTTTTTATTCATCAGACATGATTTCATGCACTCTGTATTACTGCTTCTAAAACTGTGGGTCCCCAACCACAAATTTGGTCCTCTTAGCTCACTGTGGTGGTCCCAAAACTTTGGCAACAGTAAAAGCTTTCTGAACATCATCCAGTGTCTGTTTTAGACATTTGCATGAATCTGTTTATGCCATGTTTACAGTGAACTGTGCAGAAGGTGCTTCAGCTGTGCTCCACAAAAAGGAAAACTAATCTGTTTACCAACCCTTGCAAATGTTGATTTGTTATCAGTAAATGTTTGATTTTCAGACGTCTTTTATATACCCTATATACACGTAAACATTTCTGGGGCCAAAAGGGGTCGCAAGTGGACACTTTTAATAAACTCTGCTCTATATCACTTGTGTATGCCTGACGTTCCACGAGAGGTTCATTTTTCAGTTATTTCATGTAATGTTGTGTACATATCTGTCTAGGTCATCTCTCTGTCCCTTTCTTATCAAGTAACCTCTGGACCGTAATAGCAAGTGATAAACTTGAATGGTAATGTGTCTTAGTTCATGTAGACCTCAGAATCAATCCCCTTCAGTACCAGCACTCCAAAAGTAATTGTTACGAACCATAGTTATCTTTGAACTGAATTATATTTTAGAGATGGTGGGTTGAATCCAAAGTTCCTGTGGAAAAAAAATCCTCTGGAGAAGGAGGATATTCTTGCTGCTTGTCCCTTCTGCAGTCTCCTGCTCCCAAGGGTTGGACAGTTCTGTAGTTGATCAATATAGTTTTTTGATATCTTGCAGTCACCTCAATGAAAAAAGAGGCCTTTGTAAATATGGAAGGGGCAGTTTGGATTTATCCCAATATATTATTATATGCTAATAATGTAATGTAATATATTGTATATACATATAATATTTATAATATTATAATGTAATGCAATATAATACTAATATGATATAATTATATATTTATATTACATGTAATATTACTAATAATACAATATAATGGTATAGTACAATATAGTAATATTTAATATTGATATTGTACTATGCTAATAATATATTATATTGTATGAGTGTGTGTGTGTGTGTGTGTGTATAGATATAGATATAGATACATACATATATACATACACACACACACACACACACACACACACATATATATATATATATATATATATATATATATATCTTGTAAGCCGCTGAGTCCCCTTTGAGGTAAGAAGGGGGCATATAAATGTCGTAATAAATAAATAAATAAATGATGGGGATACATACACTAAGTCAACAGTGTTCAGTCAGAAAACTGGCATATCAAAGATCTGGTCCCAAAAAGGCCATGTGGCATGGAATTGTAGAGTTGGAAGATACCCAAAGGACCTTCCAGTCCAACCCCATTGTGCCACGCAGGAACATCTGTATAAAGCACTCTCATAGCCACCCAGCCTCTGATTAAACCCCCACAGAGAAGGAGAGGCCATCAAATGCTGAAACTCCACTTAAAAGGACATCTGTGGCCCTCCAAACATGGTGGGACTGTATCTTCTTTCAGTCCAGTTGCAGCTATGTAAGTGACAAAGAATAATGGAAATTCCAGAGGGCCAAATATCTCCACCCCCTGATTTGAAGCCACCAGTGAAATAGGTAGAATGCAGGCTGATCACACCATGGTGGTAAAAATCTGCTACTAGAGTTCACTTTGAATTTGAGCCTTCCTAAAATCTCTTTTACCTACCTACAATTTATTATTTGAAATGCAGGTAATGATGAAGTTAAGCGAGGGGTCCTACTTATGCTGTTTGGTGGGGTACCTAAGACAACCGCAGAAGAAACTTCCTTGCGTGGCGACATCAATGTCTGTGTTGTCGGCGATCCAAGTACTGCCAAGAGTCAGTTCCTTAAGTAAGTTTTGGAAGCTTCCTTTTTTGAATCAAATCATTGGTCATCTTATTCTTGTATCTATCACATTATCTCCTCAATTTCAGACAGGATAGTTTTCACTCCTTAGCTGGAGGTACAAGGCATTAAACTTGGGATGTTCTGCATATAGTGCTTGCCTTCTGTCACAGAGTGATTTGTCTTGTTTAATTTTATTTTATACCACCTTGGTACCCAACATTGCCCGGGTTATTTGAAAAAGTCCATTTTTAATTGTACAAAATGCCTAAGGTTGTGGGTGAACTACATACTCACATCATGCCAGGTTAACCCCCAAAAACTCCCATCAATACTTAAAGATTGTTATGTTGGGCAAGTTTGCTCTAGATGCATCATTGGTGGGATTCAGTGTGCTCTCTCTCAGTAGGATAAAGTACAACTCCCACTATGGTGAGTCAGTTCTCTCAAACCTCTCCAGTAGGTTGAGTTAGTCATGAGGGTTCTGTGTGCCCGGTTTGGTCCAGGTCCAACATTGGTGTAGGTCACGCTTTCTCTGATTGTGAATGAGCTACAACTCCCAGAAAGGAAGATCAGTTCCCCTTACCCCCAATCCCCTCCAGTAATCAAATTTCAGCATATCAGGTATGTATGCCAAGTTTGGTCCAGATCCATTGGTGTTTGGGTTCACATTGGTCTCTGGATGTAGGTGAATCAAGGTGAATTTTCCCTAAAGAGCTCCAGTATTTTGTACTGGTCGTGGGGGCTCTGTGTGCCAAGTTTGGTCCAATTCCATCTTTGGTGGAGTTCTGAGTGATTGCAGGTGAACTATAAATCCTAGTACCTACAACTTCAAAATGGCCAGGCCTATTCCCCTCAAAACTCACCAGTATTCAAATTTGGGTATATCGGGTATGCATGCCAAGTTTGGTCCAGATTCATAATTGTTTGAATTCATAGTGCACTCTGGATGTAGGTGAACTACAACTCCTATAAAGACCTCCAGTATTTTTTTTGTCATGGGGGTTCTTTGTGCCAAGGTAGTTCCAGGTCCATTGTTGGTGGAGCTCAGAGTGCTTTTAGATTGCAGGTGAACTATACATCCTAGTATCTACAACTTCTATTAATCATGATGAATTCTCCCCAAACCTCTCTAGTATGTTCAGTTGCTAATCAATTCCTGTTTTCTGTGTGCCTTAGAAAAGAATAGGAAAGGGTTAAGGGAGAGACAGTGGGTGGGGTCATGCAAATTCCACAACAATAGAGAGAGTAAGAAACACTGGGATGCCTGTGGTGGAGGAAAACAGATAATCTAGGATGAAATTGTCCCCATATGAAAGCCTTCACTTGGGTGTTGGGCAGTATGGTGTTGCAGAACTTTTGAATCATCACAGTGCTACATTCTGTTGTGAGTTGTTAAATAGCCTTTTGCCTGATATCCCCCAGGCACGTGGAGGAATTCAGCCCCCGAGCCGTGTACACCAGCGGAAAGGCCTCCAGCGCTGCTGGCTTAACAGCAGCTGTCGTCAAGGATGAAGAGTCCCATGAATTTGTCATTGAAGCTGGAGCTCTGATGTTGGCAGATAATGTATGTTATCTCATTGGTGGCACTTTTAACACTTCAAAGAAAAAGACCCCCCTGAGCGCCCCCCCCCCCCCCCCCAGGTTTCGTTTTGGGAGCTGATGGATCTTGCATCCTGCTTCTTCTCTAGGGAGTGTGCTGCATTGATGAATTTGACAAAATGGAAGTGAGAGATCAAGTTGCCATTCATGAAGCAATGGAGCAGCAGACCATATCCATTACAAAAGCAGGAGTCAAGGTAAATAGAAGATTTGCTTCAATGTATAGTTGTTACACTATGGTATATACCAGTGATGGTGAATCTATGGCACGCTTCCTGCCCCCCCCCCCACACACACACACACACACTCCAGTGTGGGCACCCGATCTTTAAAAGGTTTGACATCACTGGTATATACTATAATATTATGGTACTATATATTAATGCATATTCCATTTTAACTGAATTCTTTACATTCTACTTGTGTTTAATTCTGTTTTAATGTTTGTATTTTTGTATATATTTACTTGTATATTAATGCCTTTATGTCAAGCCTCTTTGAGTCCCCTTTAGGGAGATAAAGCAAGGTATAAATAAATATAATAATAATATAATAATATCCAAGTTATGAACAAGATAGAGTCTGTAGGTTTGTTCTTAAGTTCAATTTGTATGTAAGTCGGAACAGGTACATTTTTAAGTGTAACTCTAGCCATATATATATATGGCTGGAGTTATACTTTGTCTTAATGAAGTTTTATATATATGAGCTGATAGGTGGCGCAGTGGGTTAAAGCACTGAGCTGCTGAGCTTGTTGATCGAAAGGTCGCAGGTTCGATCCCGGGGAGCGGCGTGAGCTTCCGCTGTCAGCCCTAGCTTCTGCCAACCTAGCAGTTCGAAAACATGCAAATGGGAGTAGATCAATAGGTACCGCTCCGGCGGGAAGGTAACGGCGCTCCATGCAGTCATGCTGGCCACATGACCTTGGAGGTGTCTACGGACAACGCTGGCTCTTCGGCTTAGAAATGGAGATGAGCACCACACCCCAGAGTCAGACATGACTGGACTTAATGTCAGGGGACTACCTTTACCTTTACCTTACAGCTAACGTATATGTCAGAATTCACAGAAATCTTTTTCATATACAGTATAGTTATAAATATACGCAAAACACCTGGGGACCCACAGGTTGAGAACCACTGAACTAGGGTTTGAAGCAACAATGTCACAGCTAAACAAAAACAGATGAAGGTGGTTGAGGAACCCTAGAGTAGTTTCCCAACTAAGTCCATTTATTTATTTTATTATATATTTTATTATAAATAAAAGATTTCTGTGAATTCTGACATATACTTTGGCTGTATCTGCTCCCACTGCTCTTGTCAGTCACTTTCCTTCTACAGTAGAGTCTCGCTTATCCAACCTTCACTCATCCAATGTTCTGTATTATCCAACACAGTCTGCCTCCTGCCCAGACCCACAGTTGTTTCAATACATTGCAATGTTTTGGTGCAAAATTCGTTTAACCCCCATTGTGCCACCAGGGGCTCCTGCTTAGATGATGATATATACTTTTTTTAAAAAAACCTATCCCCATAGACTTCTCAAATGTATACCAAAACAAGAGTATAATTCCATTATTAGCTTTCCACTGTTGTCCTTGTAGAGCTGCTTATATGATTGATGAGATAAATGTCCAGAGACCAGTGAATGTTGTCTTTCTTTCAAGTACCTTTGCTTCATATAACGATTTCCTCTCGCTTGTTGTTAGGCTACTTTAAATGCCAGGACCTCCATTTTGGCAGCAGCGAATCCGATCGGTGGGCGTTACGACAGAGCAAAGTCTTTGAAACAGAACATAAACCTCTCCGCCCCCATCATGTCTCGATTTGATCTCTTCTTTATTCTTGTGGATGAATGCAATGAGGTAAGGCATAGTCTACAGCTATTTCTAGTGTATTGTCGATGGCTTTCACTGCCGGAATCACTGGGTTGCTGTGAGTTTTCCAGGCTGTATAGCCATGTTCCAGAAGCATTGTTTCCTGAAGTTTCACCCACATCTATGGCAGGCATCCTCAGAGGTTGTGAGGTCTGTTGAAAACTAGGCAAGTGGAATGTCCAGGGTGGGAGAAAGGACTAGAGGCAGGTGTGAATGTTGCAATTGGCCACCATGATTAGCATTGAATGGCCTTGCAGCTTCAAAGCCTGGCTGCTTCCTGCCTGGGGGAATCCTTTGTTGGGAGGTATTAGCTGCCCCGATTGATTCCTGTCTGGAATCCCCCTGTTTTCTGAATGTTTTTTATTTACTGTCTTGATTTTAGAGGTTTTTTTAAAAAATACTGGTAGCCAGATTTTGTTCATTTTCATGGTTTTAATAACTATTTTTAAATCGTGTTGTTTATTGGTGGGTTTTAATATAAATGTTATTATATTATTGAGGTTTAGTTTTTATGTTTTATGTATAAATGTTCTTTTATGTTTATGTTTTAATTTGGTTAGGTTAATTTATAGTTACATGTTATTGTCTTGCTATTTTTTGGTTTTCACGGCATTGAATTTTGCCTTTATAATGTTGGAAACCCCTTTGAGTTCCCTTAGGGCAGTAGTCCTCAACCTGGGGTCCCCAGATGTTTTTGGCCTACAACTCCCATAAATCCCAGCCAGTTTACCAGCTGTTAGGATTTCTGGGCGTTGAAGTCCAAAACATCTGGGGACCCAAGGGTTGAGAACCACTGCCTTAGGGGGAGAAAAGCAGTATATAAATGTAGTAAGTAAATCAATAAATACATTTAGTTCTCTGAACAAAGATAATGTCCAATCATGTATTCATTGACCCAGTTCTATTGCTACTTCTGCTAAAGCAGTTGCAAAAACTTAAGTTAATTAGCTGCATAGGTTCCATATTTGCATTTGGTTTTCTGCATAGTTGTGTATATAATTGTTAATCCGTTGCTTTTATCCATTATTAGCTGGAGTTTTTGGAATTGTATTCTGACCCACGCTTCTCCTGCTACAGGTCACAGACTACGCCATCGCTAGGCGCATCGTGGATCTTCATTCTAGGATTGAAGAATCCATTGATCGCATTTATACATTAGATGATATCCGAAGATACCTTCTGTTTGCTAGGCAGTTCAAACCAAAGGTACCGACAATGCTTATAGTTCCCATAATTGATGTGCATTGTGTAATGTTAACAGAATACAGTATTCAGGGTTGGTTTATTCAGTTAGTGCAACTTGATAGGGGTCCAATTCTTTGTCAGTCACTTCTCTGTCAATCAAACTTACCAGTGTGTTTCCCTTTTTATCAATATTGTGTTTGTTGTTTGAGCAAAAATGCATGGAATCTGGCTGTTAGTCTTTTTCAAGCTGCATAGCTGGAAATTGATTCACAGATGAAGATTTTTGTATAGTTATCTATGGTGCTAGCTAATGTGTTAGAACTCCTAGAGCAGCTCTCTTATTTGTGGACTTAGTTGGGAAACTACTCCAGGGTTTCTCAACCACCTTCATCTGTATTTGTTTAGCTGTGGCATTGTTGCTTCAAACCCTAGTTCAGTGGTTCTCAACCTGTGGGTCCCCAGGTGTTTTGACCTACAACTCTCAGAAATCCCAGCTAGTTAACCAGCTTTTAGGATTTCTGGGTGTTGAAGGCAAAAACATCTGGGGACCCACAGGTTGAAAACTACTGGCTAGTTGATATATATATGTATGTATTTTAATCCTGGTTTTCTCCTCATATTCCCATATGCAAATGATAATCTTTCCATTTATGAATACAAGGTCATATTTTCTCTGGATGTTGGTGCCTCTTTTGCTTGATCCAATAAATAGTATTTAAGCATGACTTGGAACAAACTCTTATCTGCATTGCCTGAATAAATTACCATATATATTGCAACCAAAAATAAATTGAATCCATATTCATTGGATGGTGGGGCCTGGAAATACAGAGTTGATTTCAGTTGAATATTAGTTAATGTATATTGCTCCATATTAGGTAGTGAGCACTGACCAATTCCACTGTAGCTGTCACTCTTTTTTCTTCTTTCCTCCAATAGATTTCTAAAGAGTCAGAAGATTTTATAGTTGAGCAGTACAAGCGGTTGCGCCAGCGGGACGGCTCTGGCATTACGAAATCTTCATGGAGGATCACAGTGCGACAGCTGGAGAGCATGATCCGACTTTCGGAAGCAATGGCACGGATGCACTGCTGTGATGAGGTAGCTGCAAGTGATGGGGAAGCATTTGGCGTGATGATCTTGACCAAGATTTCCCTGTTGGCATGCCTAACTTGCTTTCTGCTACTAAAATATATCATTCGGGCATGGCTCAAGTGTCGTGAACCTGAAATGTTTGGAAAGCTCTACTCTAGAGCTTGTTTGTTTCTCCTATGAGGGGTTTGTGTGGACCCACAGACGTTCATCTGTCTCTTCTTAAACATTCTGACTAGGTTCATCCAAAACACGTGAAGGAAGCTTTCAGGTTATTAAATAAGTCTATCATCCGAGTTGAAACTCCAGATATCAACTTAGACCAAGATGAGGAGGAGGAGGAGCAGCCCATGGAAGTGCATGAGGCCCAGGACGGAGTTGCAGGTGGGTAGCCATGTAGTCCTACTTGAGAGAAAAACTTTGGTGCTCAAAGACAAGATAGAAATCTCTTAAATCAATAATGGGAGCATCTTAGTTTGTTTCTAGGACCAGTTCAAGTGCAGTCAGTGATCATTTTAATCATGACTTTCCTATATATTTCTTGCAAGAATGGGGATGCTTGGCATCCTTCTATCAAGCCTTTGGGCAGGAAGTATTCTTTCTTCTTCTTTTTTTTGATATTATGTACATTGATTCCTCTTGTTGTAAGCTGCCCTGAGTCCTCCTACTAAACCTTGGGGCGGTTTTGTTGGATTTTAGCTATATCTGCTCTCTTTCTCAAAAACAGACACACACTTTTTAGTCCTGTGTACCATCAGATGGACATGTGTGTAAAACTTAAGTTACCGTATATACTCAAGTGTATACCGACACAAATATAATCCAAGGCACCTAATTTTACCACAAAAAAACTGGAAAAACGTATACTGGTAAATTTCAAAATAAAAATAGATACCAATAAAATTTCCTATTTATTTATTTCCTATATTTATACCCTGCTCTTCTCACCCCGAAGGGGACTCATTACATTAATCACATTAATTGAGGCATCAGTAGGTTAAATGTTTTTGAATATGTGCATAAAACTGTAATTTCAGATAAGTCTGTCCAATTCTGATTAAACCATTTATTCTAACCTTCATTGTAAATGTGCTTATGTATCTTTCCAATAAGAGTAAAATAATACATGTAATAAAAATAATAATAATAGAGTAAAATAATAAATGTAATAATAAAAATAGAGTAAAATAATGGAAATGTCATAATAAAAATACCGTAAAAACCGGCCTACAAGACGACTTTTTAAACCTTGAAAACCCTTTCAAAAGTTGGGGGTCGTCTTGTCTTCCAGATATACCAGGACGATGATGTATGGCAGCAGCAGCGGAGCTTGCAAGCGAGCCTTGACTTCGCCTTCAGTCTGGCAGGTGAAGTGGCTTGCAAGTGCACCCGCTGCCGCTTCTGGCGAGACCACCTCGGCCCTCCCTTTCCAGCATTCAGCCACGTGAAGTGGCTGGCGAGTGCTCCTACCTGCCGCATCCAGTACGGTTGCCTCTGGAGAGCGGACGACGCAGCCGAGGCAGCGGAGGAGAACCTCCACTTGCAGCAACCTGCTTGCCTGACTTTCAGGCCTGCGTTGACCTCTGCAGCTGGTGAGCGTGTTCGCCCCTGCTGCTCCCGACGAGGCTTCGAGTGAGATCGACTCTGGCCTCCAGGAGCAGCGAGGTGCGGGCCAGATGCTCCATTGGGCCCCAGTTGGGCCCAGTGAGGAAAGAGGCAGCGTGAGGAAGGAGGCCGGAGGGCAGCCTTTTTCACGCTGCCTCCCTCCTTCCTGGGCCCAATTGGGGCCAACGGAGCGCCTGGCCCCACCGCGCTGCTCCTGGAGGCCAGTCGATCTCACTGAAAGCTTTGCCGGGAGCAGCAGGGGAGGGCTCGCTCACTCATCAGCTGTGGAGGCCAGCGCAGGCCTGAAAGTCAGTCAGGCAGGCTGCTGGGAGCGGAGATTCTCCTCTGCCTCGGTTGTGTGCTCTGCTCGCTGCTTACGCCAGCACAGGCCTACAGAGGCCTGCACTGGTGAAAGCAACAAGCGAACGACACAGCCGAGGCAGCAGAAGAGAATCTCCTCTCCCGACAGCCTGCCTGCCTGACTTTCAGGACTGATGAGCGAGCGAGCCCTCCCCTGCTGCTCCCGGCAAGGCTTTCAGTGAGATCGACTGGCCTCCAGGAGCAGCGCGATGGAGCCAGACGCTCCGTTGGCCCCAATTGGGCCCAGGAAGGAGGGAGGCAGCGTGACTGACTGACTGACTTCCAGGCCCAGGAGGTACCATACTTTTTGCTTTTGCTCCATGAAGACAGAAGGGGGGTTGGACTACATGGCCTTTAGAGCCCCCTTCCAACTCTATTCTCTTTCTTCTTATTATTAGTAGTAGTGTTAAGCCTGAATGACCATCTGTCAGGGGTGCTTTGGTTATACTTTCCCTACATAAAGGCAAAAGGAAGTGGGTTTGTCTAGATGGCCTTTAGAATTCCCTTCCAACATCATTATTATTATTATTATTATTATTATTATTATTATTATTATTATTGATATAAAGGCTGGATGGCCATCTCTCAAGGGGGCTTTTATTGTGCTTTTCCTGCATGAAGGCGGAATTAAAGGGGTTTTACCAGATGGCCTTTAGAGCTCCCTTCCAATTCTATTACTATTATTATTCTTATTATTATTAAGGCTAGATGGCCATCTGTTTTGATTGTGCTTTCACTGTATTAAGCAGAATGAAGGGGGTTGGGCTACATGGCCTTTAGAGCTCCCTTCCAATTATTATTATTATTACTATTAATGTTAATATTAAGGCTGGATGGCTATATGTTGGGGTGCTTTCCCTACATCAGCGTTTCTCAACCTGGGGGTCAGGATCCCTGGGGGGGTCATGAGGGGGTGTCAGAGGGGTCAACAAAGACCATCAGAAAACACAGTATTTTCTGTTGGTCATGGGGCTTCTGTGTGGGAAGTTTGGCCCAATTCTATCGTTGGTGGGGTTCAGAATGCTCTTTGGTTGTAGGTGAACTATATAGCCCAGCAACTACAACTCCCAAATATCAAGGTCTATTTTCCCCAGTGTTCACATTTGGGCATATTGAGTATTCATGCCAAGTTTGGTCCAGACCCATCATTGTTTGAGCCCACAGTTCTCTCTGAATATAGGTGAACTAAAACTCCAAAACTCAAGATCTGGGCCCACCAAACCCTTCCAGTATTTTCTTTTGGTCTTGGTAGCTCTCTGTGTTAAGTTTGGTTCAATTCCATCATTGGTAGAGTTCAGAATGCTCTTTGATTGTAGGTGAACTATAAATCCCAGCTACTACAACTCCCAAATGACAAAATCAATCCTCCCCAACCTCACCAGTATTCAAATTCAATATCGGGTATTTGTGCCAAATGTGGTCCAGTGAATGAAAACACATTCTGCATATTAGATATTTACATAACTGTCCATAACAGTAGCTAAATTACAGGTATGAAGTAGCAATAAAAAATAATATTATGGTTAGAGGTCACCACAACATGAGGAACTGTATTAAGGGATCACCACATTAGGAGGGTTGAGAAACACTGCCCTACATGAAGGCAGAATGAAGGGGATTGGCCTTTAGAGCTCCCTTCCAACTCTATTATTATTATTATTATTATTATGCAGGCTGGATGGCCATCTGTCAGGGGTGCTTTGATTGTACTTTCCCTACATGATGGCAGAATGAAGGGGGTTGGACGAGATGGCCATTAGAGCTCCCTTACAACTCTTTTATTATTAATATTAATATTAAGTCTGGATAACCATTTGTCGAGAGTGCTTTGATTGTGCTTTCCCTGCAAGAAAGCAGAATGAAGGGGGTTGGACTAAATGACCTTTAGAGGTCCCTCCCAACTTTAGGATTCTATGAAAGGAATCTTCGTCGATGACGAGCCAATAGTGTGATGCTGCAGCTGAAAAGGCCAATTACGTTTTAGGCCGCGTCAATAGGAGAAGCCTGCGAAAAGGCAAAAGGGAACTGATATGACACTTTACTTCAGCTGGTTTTTTAATTGTTGTAAATGAGAATTATTTAATGCAACTGTTTATTTTAACTTATTGCCAGCATAATGTAAAGGACCCCGAGTGTAAATGAAATTCAAGGGAGGAAGAGCAACTGTAATGTACAATATAAGGTACAATGTCCCTCTCATAGGAACCTGAATGTCATAAGCATTTGAATTAAAATTACCATATTGAATTCAAATCTGATTTTTAAAAAATGTTATTTGGTTTGCATTGGAAGAGGGGTGGTCTTATACGGCGAGTATATCCCAAATTCTATATTTTAACTGGAAAAGTTGGGGGGTCTTATAGGCCTAGTCGTCTTATATGCCGGAATATACGGTAATAATAGAGTAAAATAATGTAAATGTAACACCAATAATAATAGAGTAAAATAATAAATGTAATAATAATAGAGAAAAATAATAAATGTAATAATAATAACAATAATAAATAGAGAAACATGAGAAATATAATAATGAGATGCTTTTGAACTGTGGTGTTGGAGGAAAGTTCTGAGAGTGCCTTGGACCGCCAGAAGACCCAACCAGTTCATACTTCAGGAAATAAAGCCCGACTGCTCACTGGAGGGAAGGATAATAGAGGCAAAAATGAAGTACTTTGGCCACATAATGAGAAGGCAGGAAAGCTTAAAGAAGACAATTATGCTGGGGAAAATGGAAGGAAAAAGGGAGAGGGGCCGACCAAGGGCAAGATGGATGGATGGCATCCTTGAAGTGACTGGATTGAACTTGAAGGAGCTGGGGGTGGTGATGGCCGACAGGGAGCTCTGGCATGGGCTGGTTCATGAGTTATGAATAGTCGGAAATGACTAAACAAATAAACAACAACAATAAATGTAATTTTAATAATAGATTAAATTAATAAATGTAATAAAATAATAATAATAATAATAATAATAATAATAATAATAATAGATTAAAATAATGTAATAAAGACAATAATAACTTTGACTCGAATATAAGCCGAGGGGGGCTTTTTCAGCCTTTAAAAAAGAGCTGAAAAACTCGGCTTATACTCAAGTATATAAGGTATGTTTTCATTCTGAGCCATGAAATAGGAAGTTCATTGGAACGACCTACCTCATAATGTATGTCCACTGTAATCTTTCATTCCCTGCCCTGGACTGATGCACATGCAAAACACCATCCCCTGTCCTTGTTTTCTAGGAAATGGAGAACCCGTTACTGTCAATGGTTTGGTGAATGGTGTAACTGATCATGCAGATGATGGGGACAAGGAATCAGCACACAAGGCTCCCTTAAGACTAAGTTTCCCCGAATATCGCAAAATATCCAACCTCCTTGTCATGCATCTGAGGAAATCGGAAGAAGGTAAGAAGAGAGCTAGCCTACCTCTAAAAGTTTGAGAAGCTGAGTGAAGAAATAAAGAGTGATCTGTATATCAGGATTTCTGCGGGAGAGGATGAAAGACATTTCTATTCCCTTTCTTTAAAATCTTCACACAAAATGCTTTTTTTCTCTTTGAGTAAGACAATCTGAGGGCAGGACTGGAAATGTCTCATGATCCTGATACTGATTACTTTTGCCTCACTGCTTACAATATCTTACAGATCATTGAGATAAGGTGTGTGAAGGCCACTTGAGTTATATAAATGCTAAATATTAACCTGATTATTGATAAGTAAAGGTAAATATTGATAAGTAAAGGTAAAGGTTTCCTCCTGACATGAAGTCTAGTCGAGTCCGACTCTAGATGGTGGTGCTCATCTCCACTTCTAAGGCAAAGAGTCTGTAGTCTGTGGTCATGTGGCCAGCATGACTGCATTGAGTGCCATTACCTTCCCGCCAAAGCAGTACCTATTGATCTACTCACATTTGCATGTGTTCAAACTGCTAGGTTGGCAGAAGCTGGGGCTGACAGCGGGAGCTCACCCATCTCCCTTGATTCCAACCGCCAGCCTTTCAGTCAGCAAGTTCAGCAGCTCAGCGGTTTAACCCACAGTGCCACCAGAGGCATGATTATTGATACATAATGATAAACTTGTTTTTTTCCCTTTGTTTTTGCAGAAGATGACGACGCCTCCTTAAAAAGAAGTGAGCTCATCAACTGGTACTTGAAGGAAATTGAGTCAGAGATAGATTCTGAAGAAGAGCTCATCAATAAAAAGAAGATAATAGAAAAAGTTATCCATCGCCTTACTCATTATGTACGTACATTTGGGGTCTTTTTTCAAGCCAAAATGCTAGTCTTGAGCTCTTTGGATCAAACCTTTGAAAGAAGGAAGTATTGATGTGCACTGTGTACTATCAGAAGGAAGTACTAATGTGGTCTTTTGATCTTATGCATATGTACCTTCAAGCACGTTCTACTGTATTTAATGTGTCGTATTCCGCAATACGTTTGCGGCTTGCATCTCATACAAGCTGCAGTTTAATATGCTCCCAGGAGCCCCCAGTGGCGCAGTGGGTTAACCCTTGTGCCGGCAGGACTGAAGACCATCAAGTCAGAGGTTTTAATCTGGGGAGAGCGCGGATGATCTCCCTCTTGTCAGCTCCAGCTCCCCATGCAGGGACATGAGAGAAACCTCCCACAAGGATGGTAAAACATCAAAACATCCCGGCATCCCCTGGGCAATATCCTTGCAGATGGCCAGTTCTCTCACACCAGAAGCGACTTGCAGTTTCTCAAGTCGCTCCTGACATGACAAAAAAAATGCTCCCAGCAAGGTGTCCATAAGATTGTAGTCCAATCTTATGGACTACATAAGATTGGACTATATTATGTAGGTATATCTTATCTTATATCTTAGGTATATTCACCTAACCAACAGTTTATCATTGAGTTTTTAAAAGTCTGCATACTACATAGACGTTTGTAGGATTTCACTGTATACGCAGTTAGTTACCATATATACTCGAGTATAAGTCAACCTGAATATAAAGCTGAGGCACCTATTTTTACCACAAAAAAATTGGGAAAATGTATTGACTCGGGTATAAGCTGAGGGTGGGAAATGCAGCCGCTACTGGTAAATTTCAAAATATCAATCGATACCAATAAAATTACATTAATTGATGTATCAGGTTAAATGTTTTTGAATATTTAATATTTTGAATATTAAAACAGTAATTTAAGATAAGACTATCCAACTCTGATTACCTATATACTCGAGTATAAACCAACCCGAATATAAGCCAACTAAGACCCTCACTCGAGTATAAGTTGAGGGGGTTTTTTTTCAGCCTTAAAAAGGGGCTGTAAAACTTGGCTTATACTTGAGTATATATGGTATATTGATCTTCTATAGTAGGTGAGAGTGGGATGGTTGCATTCACATAGATCCATTAGTATGCATAGCACTATGGGGCTGATGAGCTTTAAGGCTTTGATCCTCATTCTTATTAAGGCAGTAAATCAATATTTAAAACTGGCATGTTACTTGAAGTTTAGCATGCTTGTTGTCATTTGTAGAGCATACATAATAAGACTCTCGGAGCTTGACCTGACTTCAGAATTGTCTTGTTTCAGGACCACATTCTAATTGAGCTCAGTCAGACAGGACTGAAGGATTCGGAGGAAGGACAGAGCTTTGACGAGGACCCCTTTCTTGTAGTGAACCCTAACTACTTGCTGGAAGACTAGGAAGAAATGCTGCAGAATCAACGACATGCTTACTAGATGCCATTCCTCATCTTGTCACCTGATGCTTGTCACCATTGTATATAGTTGCCTAACCTGAAAAAACTCTGTCAGCGAATTCACCCACCTGGTCTATTTTTAAATAATCTTTTATATAGATAATAATATAGATAATATTCTTTGCAAACAAGAGACCTGATAAGAGAACTTTTTAAAAAGTGGCCGACTTGCAGCTTCTGTGTTTTACTAAAAAGAGAAGTACTTAAATAATTTTTCTGTAGTGCAATATTGTAGCTCTTTCTTCCAACTCTTTGTGTTAAATAAATATTGTGTTAAATAAAGCCTTATCCCTGTATATCTGTTTCCAAAAGGCCTTGTTTTCCTTGCTGAATGTTGAACTAATAATAATCATCTTCATCAACAAGGGCTCCAGTATAAACCAGTACAAGTGGTCCTAGTGATAATTGGTACGCTGGTTGCCGTACCAAAAGATCTCAGCTGTCATTTGAAAACAATATACATCGACAAAATCACGATTTGTCAACTGCAAAAGGCCACCTTACTTGGATCTGCGCGCATCATTTGAAAATACTTCACACAGTTCTAAACTGTTTGACTTGTGATTTTGTGATACGAAATCCAGCATATATATTTCATTTACTGTGTTTTGTGTCAGTAAAATAATAATAGTAATAATAATTAAACTTTATTTGTACCCTGCCGCCATCTCCCGGAGGGACTCTGAGCGGCTGACAAAGCATTCAAAGGTGCAAACACGGAAAATACAAAAATTGCAGAAACAATAATGTAACAAAACAGCCAACATATATATCTCACTTCACAAAACCCCCTGGTAAAATCAATAGCTGCAGGTATAAACAACAGTAATCAATCTGTCTAAAACCACTTCTACACTGCCATGTAAAATCCAGATTATTTGCTTATCTCAGACTATTGGGCACTGTAGACGCATACAATCCTGTTCAAAGCAGATCAGATCTTTAGATATAGGACAGTATAGATCCAGCCTAAGTCAAATTGTCACTTAGGTTTTGGCTCCAAAGCATTGAATGTATATATGATTTCAGATACTAGAATGACATAAAAGAGATCTGTGTTGGTCTTCTCATTTTTATCTTTTAAAAAAAAGTCCAGGATGTATGAGTATGTGGCTCACATGTCACCTCTTGTAGTTGTAAATCAGTGGTTCCCAACCTTTTTTTGACCAGGGACCACTCTCCAACATTAGTACCAAAAGGGTTACAAATCAGTTTTTGCTCAACCTTAGACTCAGTTTGGTCATTTGGGGTGCTGATTTAGAAAATTGTTTTGGATAAACCACATCAGCTCTAACTTCTGATACAGAACATACCCTATCCAGTAGTCACCATGTGTTCACTCACAGAAAACCATATTTAATAATCTAGAGCTGTTGTGATCTATCCAATGCAATTTTCTGAATCGGCACCCCAAATAACCCCAGGCACAGGCCTAAAAACAAAGACACTAAGAAAAAACTATTGGTTGGGCTTTGTTATTCTTCGTAGTAGTAACGGTGAGACCATGAACTATATTTTAGTTATTACAGACCACTGGTGGTCCATGGGCCACAGGTTGGGAACCACTGGTGTAAATCTTTCGCTGTCTTAGTTTTGCCAAACCATTTTTCTTTTGAGTTGGAACGTAGATCAAGTACAAAATGTTTTGGCATTTCCCTATAGAAACTGCCAGGGAGAAAGAATGAATGACAAGTTTGGAGAGTGTCCCCTGACAGTGTCTCCTATCGCTGTATCAGCTTTACAAGGGCAACATGGGATTGGGAACCTTTGGTTTCTCTCATGACTTCCTCGATATACTCATGTATAACTTCAGTCAAATATTTTAGTAAAAAAATAGGCGTCATTCCCTTCTTTGAGAAGAGTGGCAAAAAGCAAGAGCTCAGTCCATCATGGGAGAACCTAAAAGAAGCAATGTCCCCTCTACTCTCTCCGGTGTGGCACCACTTCTGTCCTTTATGAGTGCTTATTTAGTGAAACGATGCTTTTCCCCTCTGCAGAGTGACCCTCAACTTATCCACAGGTCATATAGAAATCCTTAATTTTGGCACCTGAACCTGACCTCAATATACACGAGGTCGATTTGTCCATGAGTATATACCAGTATTTATTTATTTATTTATTTATTTATTTATTTATTTACTTACTTCATTTGTATACCGCTATTCTCAGCCCTTAGGCGACTCACCAATGGTCCACAAGAACAAAAATATGATCTGCAACCTCATCATTACTACACACTTGCCTCAAAACCATGCGGCAACGAGAGCAACTGGTCTCGCTAAACCCTCTTATAGTGACAAAGCAACTGGGATGTCAGGAGGGGAAAGGCTGACTACCCATGAAAGATTAGCCACATCAGCTCTTGATTATTAAATATGGTTTTCTGTGGGCGAGTAGATGATGACTACTGGATAGCATATGTCCTGTATCAGTAACTAGAGCTGATGTGGTCTATCCAATGCAATTTTCTGAATCAGCACCTCAAATAACCAAACCAAATCTAAAATTGACCAAAAACTGATTCATAACCCCTTTTGATACTAATGTTGGAGAGAGGTCCCTGGTAAAAAAAAAAATGGTTGGAACCACTGGTATATATTGTAGTCCACCTCTGATCTGCTTTGGATGTTTTTAGCTGATGACTCGAGTGTTCTCTTTAAAGAAGCCCAATATTCTCCTTGACTGATACTCTTTTAATTAACCTTTGATTCTGTTATCTTGATTTCTGTTGCCGCTTGCCAACTTTGTACCCTTCTGATAAAGAGCACAAGTTAAATGTTAATTTTATTATCTTTGAGTATAAATGGGGCAAGCATTCTTCTGCCTGTATTGGCAGACATGGCCCTGGTATGCAAGTTCTGTGTGGTTTTTCTGCTCCCTTTCTTTTGCACTGGAGTAAACTGGGATCCTACTGAGAACTATATTTTTATTGCTGGCCCTCTTACTAATGAGTTAGTAAGTCATTTAAACACCAAAAGCGGAAATGTAAGAGATGCTGCTTTTAATTCTGAAACATCCCAATCGGATTATCTTTGTCATCAGCCTTCTCTCACTTCCTTGCTGCCATACTTTGATGAGCTCCATGAAAATGGCGTGACTCACTTTAAGGTGTTCTTGCCTTGGACTTACCTCTTCCCAGAGATGAATGCCAAATCTGCCAACGACACTAATATTGTATGCTACAGACAGCTTCTTCAAGCTCTCAGAGCTGCAGATCTTAAGCCTGTTTTAATACTCCATCAGAAACACTTGCCGAAGTCTTTACGTACTCAACAGCCTGCGGCTTTCATTGAACTTTTTGCACAATATGCAGACTACTCCTTTGGGTTGTTTAGTGATCTTGTCGACACCTGGCTCACTTTCGGCAACCTGACCAAGATCACAGAGTCTCTACCACAAGGAGATCCACTTGCTTTACCTTTCCAGGTGCTAGCTTCAGCGCATGAAAAAGTTTATAAGATCTTCCATGAAAACTATTTTTCAGAAGGTAAATGAAAATCTTGGTGGGATGGGGAAATGCCTATGTCTTCTCCAAATGTGGGGAGTGAATTCTGAAGATATGTGGGGAGTTGTGGAGATAAATACAATGTCTGTGGGAAGCAATGAATTATCTATAGCAGCGTTTCTCAACCTGGGGGTTGGGACCCCTGAGGGGGGTCGCGAGGGGTGTCAGAGGGGTTGTCAAAGACCATTAGAAAACACAGTATTTTCTGTTGGTCATGGGGGTTCTGTGTGGGAAGCTTGACCCAATTCTATCATTGGAGGGGTTCAGAATGTTCTTTGATTGTAGGTGAACTAAAAATCCCAGCAACTACAAATCCCAAATGTCAAGGTCTATTTTCCCCAAACTCCACCAGTGTTCACATTTGGGCATATTGAGGATTCGTGCCAGGCTTGGTCCAGATCCATCATTGTTGGAGTCCACAGTGCTCTCTGGATGTAGGTAGACTACTACTCCAAAATTCAAGGTCAATGCCCATCAAGCCCTTCCAGTATTTTTGGTCATGGGTGTTTTGTGTGCCAAGGTTGGTCCTATTCCATTGCTGGTGGAGTTCAGAATGCACTTTGGCTGTAGGCTAACTATAAATCCCAGCAACTACAACTCCCAAATGACAAAATCAATCCCCTCCAACCCCACCAGTATTCAAATTTGGGCCAAATTTGGTCCAGTGAATGAAAATACATCATACATATTGGATATCTACATTACAATTCATAACAGTAGCAAATTTACAGTTATGAAGCAGCAATGAAAATAAATTTATGGTTGGGAGTCACCACAGCATGAGGAACTGTATTAAGGGGTCGCCACATTAGGAAGATTGAGAACCAGCGAACTATAGTGTTAAGAACTTCTGGTGTGAGAGGATTGGCTGTCTGCGAGGAGGTTGCCCAGAAGATGCCTGTGGGAGGCTTCTCTGATGTCCCCGCATGAGAATCTGGAGCTGACAGGTGGGAGGTCATCTCGCTCCCCGGATTTGAACCGACTAACCCATTGCGCCACTGGGGGCTCCTTTCACCATTTATCAAGTTGCTCCTAACACGAAAAAAAAAAGTATTAAGAGGCTGAGCACCACATTTTGTTGCACTTGAATAACTGAGGAGAGATATCCTATTCTAAAGCACAACAAGGTCCTGGACACAATCTATCCCAACTTCATCAAATTGTCTTGCCTACAAACATCTGGAAAATGCTAAATACCCTTGTTGTTTCCATTTTTGTTTCCCTCAACCTTTCCCTTGATTTCCCATAGCCTTTTGTCTTATCTATCCTGTCAACAAAATTACAGTGCAACCTTTTCTCAATTTCTTCCTTTCTACTTCTATGACTTGCTTTTCATTTCTGTGGCTTGAGACCCAAAACACACACAAAGTTACATGGTTTGCTCTTTTTTCCCAATGGGGTCAACTGGAGCTGGACCTTGACATGGTCCAGTTGTTTTCAACTGTGATCTCAAACTCTTCTTTGTGCCATGGCCAGTTCAACTTTCTTTTCCCCTGTGTGTAGTGCGATAAGATTGTAGTCATAAGTCTTTGTGAAGACTGCAGGCATTAATTCCTGAGTTGACTGTTTAAGCTCTCCAAGGGCCCACCCACATTGAAATTAAAAGGTTAAGGTTTCCCCTGATATTCAGTCTAGTCGGATCCAACTCTGGGGGTGGTGCTCATCTCCATTTCTAAGTCGAAGAGCCGGCATTGTTCATAGATGACTCCAAGGTCATGTGGCCAGCATGACTACATGGGACACCATTACCTTCCCACAGAAGTGGTACCTATTGATCTATTCATCTTTGCATGTTTTCAAACTGCTGGGTTGGCAGAAGTTGGGGCTAACAGCAGGAGCTCACCCTGCTCCCCAGATTCGAACACTGAAGTTATAGCACTATAATTTTACTTTTAACTGGCATGGTTGCATCCTTTAAGGAATCCTGGGGATCATTTGTTGCCAAGGTATTGGAGATCTCTAGCTGAGAAATCTCTCTCATTCTGAAATTCGAAATACTTTAAATCCCAAAACTTTTGCCGTTAGCCACCTACTTCTGTCTTTGGGGAAAGGGAGCTAGTCACATCTCCAGCAACCACTGAGTTTCTCCTCCAGGAGTTATGATAAGGGAAAGGGGTCAAGAGCAAGCGAGAGAGATTCTACTTATGCAATCTATATAAATAAAAATGTAAAGTTCGTTTGTGGGATTAACATAACTCAAAAACCACTGGATGAATTTAAGTCAAAATTGGACATAATACACCTATCAGGCCAACGAGTGACCATCACTCATAAAAACACTAAAAATGTAGCAGAAGAGACTTTAAAAAACAACAAAAAATACATTACAACGCATGCACAAAACCAGACATATATACAGAAACACACATATACACATATATACACACACAAAACACATATATACAGACTGGGCCACAGCAATGCATGGCAGGGGATGGCTAGCGCCCCTATAAAAAGGAGAAATCCAAGATGCTTCCATACCGATGGCAGTTGAAGCCCTTGAAACAGTTTCAAGGGTGAATGCAGAGTCCCCTTATTAGGTACCATCTGTATTCAGCCCAAAGATAATGAAAAAAAAGTGGGGCAGGTGAAAGATTTTTGCCTTCTTTCCTGGCAATTTTGCTCGAAGTGCATCGATGAAGCTATGATGATGATGCCCACTGTGAGATCATAATAAACAAACAATTATAGTTTGCCTTTCTACCAAGCAAACCAGGTTTTTCTCCATCAATAACAAATTATTTTTTCCTCTTCTTTTGACTTCCAGATGGAAAACTGTCTATTTCATTAGATGTTCATGATGATGCTGTGCTTGTGCCATCTAGAACTTTCCTGGCTACAATTTTGGTGAGGAATTTTATTTTCTATGTGCAACATGAATATTTGCCTAGAGAAATAAGAGCACTTAGAATCATAGAATCATAAAATTGGAAGAGACTTCATGGGCCATCCAGTCCAACCCCCTGCCAAGAAGCAGGAAAATTGCATTCAAAATACCCCCAACAGATGGCCATCCAGCCTCTGTTTAAAAGCTTCCAAAGAAGGAGCCTCCACCACACTCCGGGGCAGAGAGTTCCACTGCTGAACGGCTCTCACAGGAAGTTCTTCCTCATGTTCAGATGGAATCTCCTTTCTTGTAGTTTGAAGCCATTGTTCTGCTTCCTAGTCTCCAGGGAAGCAGAAAACAAGCTTGCTCCCTCCTCCCTATGACTTCCTCGCACGTATTTATATATGGCTATCATGTCTTCTCTCAGCCTTCTCTTCTTCAGACTAAACATGCTCAGCTCTTTAAGCCGCTCCTTATAGGGCTTGTTCTCCAGACCCTTGATCATTTTAGTTGCCCTCCTCTGGGCATATTCCAGCTTGTCAACATCTCCTTTCAATTGCGGTGCCCAGAATTGGACACAGTATTCCAGGTGTGGTCTAACCAAGGCAGAATAGAGGGGTAGCATGACTTCCCTGGATCTAGACACTATACTCCTATTGATGCAGGCCAAATCCCATTGGCTTTTTTTCATGCTGAAGTTTTATTTGGGTTCACTCTGACCTGAACATAGCGTGACCTTCCCTCCTCCTGAGAAATACAACCCGTTGGCACCTTGATCAGCCTGTTTTTGCAACCTGTATGAAGCTATTGAGCATCTGTCAGGCTGTTGAACTGTTCTTGGCTTGTCAGGTCATCAGTTGTGGGAAGTGTACTGTAGCTGAATCCGTAATGAGGCCTTCCTGGTGTTAGAGGCAATCATGCATCACTTAGACTTAAAATCATGGAACAAATGCAATGTGCTGTGAAGTCGATGTGAGACAGTGACATATGAACACACTCAGAATTTGCTCTGGAGGTTTCACCAGGTGGATGGAGGTGGTGAGGGGACTTCAGAGGACAAGGAACATCTGTATGGCTGATGGAGTTACAGTGTTGTAAACTACCTGATTATTCCTACTGCGGTATGTTCAGCAGAGCCTAACAAAATGATATACTTGTGTAGAACATAACTGATTTATTGAATGTACTGTCATGAAGCAAGAACATTAAAAGCCTATATAGTCCAACATTCTGCCCATGTGGTGGTCTATGCAAAGCCCACGGTGCCCTACAAGAAAAAGGAACTGGGTGGAGTTATAGCATCTTCAGGTGGCAGTAATGGCAATAAACTTTGGTTACTATAAATCATGGCTAGACAAATTCATGGATGGGTGATCTACCTGGGGCTTAGTTATAATGACTGGAGACTCCATAATCAGGAGCAGTGTAGCACTAAATGCCAGTTGCTAGGAAGCAAAAGGAGTTTCAAGAGACTTGAAGGTAAGTCATTTGACCTATCACTCTAGGAAACATCATGCTGGGCACACAAGTGAATGTTGGGCACGATCCAAGGGAACTCACACACCCAAAGCCTTAAGGTTAATGCATGCCCACCTATAACCTTACAGAGATATTGCTTCTTTTTAAAGAATCGGTAAATACACCATGTTGTTGTTGTTGTTGTTGTTGTTGTGTGCCTTCAAGTCATTTCGGACCGATGGCAACCCCAAAGTGAACCTGTCATTGAGTTTTCTTGGCAAGACTTATTCAGCAAAGGGTTGCCTTTGCCTTCCTCTGAAGCTGAGAGAATGTGACTTGCCCAGTGTCACCCAGTGGGTTCCCATGACTAAGCAGGGATTCTAACCCTGGACTCCAGAGTCATAGTTCAGATGTTCAAACCACTACTCCACACTGGCTCTCATAAAGGTACACATCTATTTTTCTGCATACCAAATCTGTAGGAAATTGTTGGTTGCAATGTCCATGCATTATTATTATTATTATTATTTATTTATTTATTTATTTATTTATTTATTTATTTCCCTCCCTCTCTCTCTCCAGAGGAACTCAGGGCAGACATGGAACTAATAACCACCTAAACATGCGAGATTGGAAAGCTATTTTTAAAGTTATGGTTGTACATTCCCTTCTATTGCCATTGGTTAATCTCGTAGTTCCATTTTTAAAGGTATTTAAGTAAATAAATTATTTACTTTAAAGCATGGTGTAGTGGTTTGAGTGTTGGACTACAGCTCTGGAGATCAAGATTTAACTTTGCATAAGACATGGATTCTTAGCCTCAGAAAACCCCTTGATAGCATCATCTTACTGATGCCAGAAGTCAGAAAAATTTTGAAGGCACTCAACAACAATTTATTTCCCCATTTTGCAAATGTTGCCAATCTAGCAACTTTTTTTAAAAAAGCATACCATTGGAATGGCTCTTCTTTGGGGTTTGTTTTGTTTTGTTTTTTATGTGTCAGGAGCGACTTGAGAAACTTCAAGTCGCTTCTGGTGTAAGAGAATGGGCCGTCTGCCCAGGGAAAGCCTGTGGGAGGCTTTTCTTATGTCCCTGCATGAGAAGCTGGAGCTGACATACAGGAGCTCTCCCTGTTTCCCGGATTCAAACCACCAACCTTTTGATCAATAGTTCAACCGGCACAAGGGTTTAACCCATTGCACCACCGGGGGCTTCTTTCTTCTTTGGCATGGCACCCTTATCTCAACCATCTTTACCCATACGTGCAATGTTTCAGTGTTATGTTGGTTCCTCATAGGCAGATTTGAAAGTAATAGTCACAGCTGCAAAAAGTGTGAGAATCAGCCCTCCTTAAATCATAGCCAGCTTCTGTATATTAATAACTGGTGTCTCATACAAAACTTCTCTTCAGTCATACTATTTCATTTCAATTCCATCATCATTGAACACAAATCAGAACATTGTTTTGAAATATGTTCTGAGCAGCACTTTGGGCTCCTGGTGTGTGTGTACTTCTGAGTCCTATCTATTTCTTACTACCTGAAAATGACCTGCAATCACAATTACAAATTTTAATGAGCACTATGTAGTAATGCTATGGAGTTTATTTTCCAGGACTCTATCGATTTTCTCTCTCTCAGCCTACACTACAACTGTAAAAAGGAAGCGGGCATTGAACAGATGCTGAATGAGCTACAGGTAATTCTGACACTTCCACCAAGCTATTTTCCAGTTTTCTGTAGATACTCATGAATAATCTGTTACCAGTTTAGTTATCATTTGTTAGCATTAAGATAAAAGAACACCTGGGAAGATATCTACATAATCATTACACAGTGAATCATATCCAGCCTTTTTCATATTTTGTGGGACCCATGTTGTACAACGGTAGCCTCACCTTTTGCAATAGATGTTGTGATGATCCACCCTTATAATTCCTACTGCCTTAGACAGAATTTACTTTGACCCAGGAGAAATCAGAGAATCAGAGAGTTGGAAGAGACCACATGGAACATTCAGTCCAACCCCCTTCTGCCAGGCAGGAACACACAATCAAAACACTCCTGACAGATGGCCATCCAACCGCTGTCTAAAAACCTCCAAAGAAGGAGATTCCATCACACTCAAAAGCAGCATAGTTCATTGTCAAAGATTTTTTGGTTCTTTCCCTCTCGTTCTGGCTAAAATCTCTTTCCACTTTGACTCCCAGTTTTCCTTTGGATGCCCATTCATATATTTTGTTCTCCTTCCAGTTATGTAGTCTTGGAGCATATACTCTGATAAATATTCAAGCCATTTTTTAAAATTCCCATTTCCTTTCATCTTTCCATCCTAAGGCAACTGTTGCTTGGGTAGTTGCTATCATATATTTTGCAGTTTCAGTCTGGTATTTATTCCTCCCATTGCATACAATTTGTTGGGTAAATAATTTTTTTTGTTTACTTCTTCTCCCTAGTAATTTTTCCATCTCACCCTTAACCTTTTTATTGAAATATAACTTTTCACAATCCCACCACATATGGCTAAACCCTCCCATTCCTCCGCATTTATGCCAACACAATTTTCATGGGGTTTTTTGTTATGTGGGCCAATTGGGCTGGTTGGTGTGGGGTTCAATACCATTTTGTCAATATTTTACATTGTGTTTCCTTAATCCTTAAATGTTTAATTTCTCTAATTGCTTCTTATACAATTCCCAATCTTATTCTCCTTACAGTTTAATTCACATTTTTATATATATATATACACACACACACACACACACACACACACACACACATATATATATATACACACACACATATATATATATATTTGAAAAAAATACGAAACATACTTTGTTCAAGGTATGGAAAAAATTTTGTTTTGTTTTTGTTTGTAAAATTGATAACAGAACCATTTCTTTTCTAACACCAGTATAACCATCTGCAGAGTCCATAATGACAGTTACACCATTATGCATTGCATCTTGTTGTTCAAGATCAAACCATCCCTTTTGCTTGATCTGCTACATAGTTAAAGTAATTGCTCCTGAGAGATCGCTTACAGCTTGAGAGAATTCATTGCCTTTTTGTTTTACAGCCTGCCACATATGGTTTGGAGATTTTGCTGTTTCATCTACATTTCCATGAATGTTCTTCCACACAAGAAAACCTACTGACAGCAGTGGCCTCCATTTTTAGTGGTAAGAGTCTTCTACAAGGAGCAACTGTGGTCTTGTGGTTTGAGGAACAGCTCACAAGCAGTAAAAACTATGCTAAACTCCAAGACAAACTTGCTATTAATTTTACTCGGAGCTGACCTTATCAGCTCCAGCAAAGGATCGCTGCCTTATCAGAGTGGCCTGGCTGCATCAGGTAGCAGTTATCGGGTAGCACAGAACAGAAAAATAATATTTATTTATTTATTTATTTAGTTATACCCCACCACCATCTCCCCAAAAGGTACTCAGAGTGGCTTACATGAGCCCAAGCCCAACAACCCAGTAGTGAGAGATTGCAAAGGAAATGCTGTGTGTGAATCATTTGGTTCCCTTTGGCCCAACTGGTAGGATGGAAGATGTTGAAGCATTGTCAACACAGACATAAGATTCAGGCCTGTCAGCCTCTGCCACGTTAAAGGTTGGGGAATGTTGAAGGACAACTTGGCCCTGCAAGAGGTGGGATTTCACTAGAAAGGACACAAGACTGTGAGCTGTGTGTTTTTCCACTGCAAGTAATATCTCCTCCTACCTACTACTTTTTTCCAGCCATTTATGAAGCTGACGCGCAGGCAATAGGATATGACGTAAATCCCATCTTGAACAACTCGCTCATTCAAGAAGCTGGGTATGTTTCTAATGTTTGTATGGTTGATTTTCTTTTAAAAATTTGCTGTGGCTTATGTTACTTTCTACTATCCTTTTACTCTCTTATTGCCTTGCTGTGTATATGGACAAAGGCCATATCCAGTTATCCACACTGTGTATTGATACCCCCTTCAATTACCATGGCTTCATTCTACAGACTCCTAGGTGGGACTTTGAATTCTTCCGTATAGATATGCTCAAAGTTGCTCAAAGTTGTTTTCAATTTGTAATCTTCCTTGGCTCTCCCACTGCTGCTTTTTCCTTATTGCACAAAACTTAAGAGGGCGAGTTGGAAGAGCTGTGTAAAGATGATGGATTGGCAGTGCTAAGAGCTGTCTAACTTGAAGCACCTGGTTCCCTGGCAGCAATGCAGATCATATTTCTGAAGAAGTGGGTCTGCTCCATAAGGGAATGAAGCCTCATTATGAACAATGGGTCTTTAATTTGAATAAAAGTGCAGACAATTGGTTTGTGTGATAATACTACATGGGGTACCATCATAGAAACCATCTTGGTAGGCATTTTCCAATTGTGTACTAGCATCATTGTGAAATAGTACCATAATTATTTAGTATTATTTTAAGAAATGGTAATTAATTGGAATGCAACCAGTTCATTAATTGTAGGAATTCATGTATAATACAGCAAAATATAAAATGTTTTCAAACAGATGCAGTGGTGTTTGGAAAGTAGTGAACTATAAATAATTAGCTCTGTCAAGACATACCCTGGAGTCGGGAGCCTTAAATTCTCTTTTCTTGTATTATAAAAACTGCCAAAATGTTGCTCCCCCATGGTCCAGACATACATCATTTCAGTGATGTATGAAAATTTAGATCACTCAGTATCATACTAAATACTTTACTATATTCTATGCCAATGTGGCTCCTCTGCCACATTCCTCTCAATTAAACTTTGGTGAGAAGTATCAACATAGCGAGGATCTTAGCTTTATGGTCACTGTAGCAGCTTAGGAAAAGAATACAGGCAAAATGACGACGATGTCTGCCACTACGTGAGTGTTCAATATATTTGAGCTTTGGATCCTACAGCCAAGCTGTACACCACTTAGGTCATCTAATCTATTTAAATAGCAGTGTCAAAGGTAATCTACTATCACATTGGGCGTTGCATTCAAACTCAAGTAAACCCAACTGAAAGAAATTAAAACAACACATAGATCAGATGATTTGTGATGGCACTATTTTGTTCAGCTGCTTGTTAGCTTAATGGATTACATATTTTCATGACAGTCATGTGTATAGAAACTTTATCAAGTTTTAACTATTTTTTTCCTCCCCACAATAACAGGAGAAATCGTTTCTGATCATTGTACATGAGTTCATGGGTCCTCAACTTTCATGAGAGCTCCTTCATCTTCAGAAAGTATCCATAGATTATCCTTTCAGTTGGATCACCTTCAGTGCAGGAAATCTGATCCAAATTTCTTCAGTGTTTTTTTGGTGCCTGCAACATCCTCCATTTTGTCGATATAAGAAATAAACAACAACTGATTCTCTACACATTTGTCTGTTTTGATTTAGCTTCTTAGCGATTGGGTTTAGTAATATTGTTTTCAAATAGTGCTAACCCTGTTCAACCAAGAATTAAATGTTATTCCATTTAAATCTCTCTGGTTCTTAGCTATTTCTATTCTGGCCAATCCAAGAGTTTAGAAATATCCCCTCCCTATATAGACAGTTTCTCTAAAGGTTCGACATATCTTGCTGAGCCAGAAAAATAGAGTAATTGTCAACTATGATAAACATGGTAAATACATGTAGGATTTAGGCAAGTAATGGATTTTACTTATACAACAGGTATCACTCTTACTTAGTAGATAGTTCATTAGACAACCAATCTTTATGTATGCAACTTTGGACATGAGATAGCTAACTGAATAATTGAATTGTAGCACTATCTGTATCAATTAAAATACTTCACCTTGGGATGTGGTGTTTTTCAAATGCTGAATGTTCAACATTTGGGTATCAAAACAGGCACATCCTTAATACTCTAAACATCTGAATCCAAGAATGATTCTTCTTTTGAGACATAAGTAGAAATGTAATGGCAATGAAAGTCAAATTAACAAAGATAATCTCTTATCACATCTTCTTCTCTTTTAAGCTCCCACACAGAAAATCTAGCCATTCGTCCCAAGCCAGATGTGACACTGACATCAGTTATCAGCCCATTATCATCCTACCAAACAATTTGGGAAACATTTGCAAATCAGTCTGAATTGGAGAGAGATGCTTTTCTGTTGGATGTTTTCCCTCGAGGTTTCCTCTGGGGCACATCAACAGGATCCTTCCGGGTTGAAGGCGCATGGGCAGAGGATGGAAAAGGAGAGAGTATTTGGGATCGATATGGGCATCAAGGGCATGTCTACAAGAATCAAACGGCTGATGTGGCCTGTGACAGCTACCACAAGACAGAGTATGATGTGTACTTGCTCCGAGGCCTTAGGCCAAAGATTTACAAATTTTCTATATCATGGCCTAGGATTTTTGCTGATGGGACTAAGGACAGCTTGAATCCTCAAGGAGTTAGTTATTACAACAAACTCATTGACAGCTTGCTAGATTCGAACATTGAACCCATGGTGACTTTGTTCCACTGGGACCTGCCACAAACTCTGCAGGGTCTTGGTGGATGGCAAAATGAGAGTATTATAAGTGCTTTTGCAGAGTATGCAGCTTTCTGCTTTGACACATTTGGAGATCGGGTTAAATTCTGGATTACCTTCCATGAACCTTGGGTCATTAGCTATGCTGGCTATGGCACTGGAGGGCATCCTCCGGGAATTGTTGATCCTGGGATAGCATCCTATCAGGTATGAACAACAAGTAGCATGCCATAATTGCACTCGTAGTTTATGTGCTGTGTTGTGTCTGTGAATGATGGCTCATGAGATGGTTCCTTTCTCTTCAGATTGTGGAAAATGTTATTGTAGGCACAGCCTTTGATAATTAAAGGGATGCCACTAGAGAGATAAATTTCGAGATAAAGGGAGGTAAAGGTTGAAGTCAAACTAACATGATCTAATCTTTAACACCATAAAACTGGCTACAGGCATGCAGGTATTCACTTGTTAGTGACCTTTGGTTGGTTGACTGTGTTTATATGAAGACTTCAAAGAATTTGGTATAAGGCAACATGAAAATGAAAATTACTCTCTTTGGCTTTCTCATCTAAACTAACATGATTTCTATGACACATTTTTATCATAGCTGAGCAACTTGTAGTCCTCTAGATGTTGCTGAACTACATGTCTTTTGAGACCTGACCATTGAAGAGGACTCAAGAGCTTTGTTATCTAGAAATATCTGGAAATCCTCAAATTGTTCACACCTTTCAACTATTCCAACTGGTGGCATAGAAACTCTTACCCCATAGCTCCTTTTCCTTTCTAGTAGACCTCTTCCTATACAAAAAAAGTGCCCCATGCAGGATTGGGACAATACTGATACAGAAAGGCTTACAAAAAAAAGAATATATTTTTTCTATATGACTACATAATTATCAAAAACCCCAAGGATGTACCCCTGTGTCATGGTTCCTATGCTATGGAGTCATAATATTGGAAGCAGCTTTCAGGACATTTTTGTACTATCTACGATATCTTCTTGCTCTTGACATGGACTACTCCATAGTTAACAACCTATATGTTTATTAAAATCCAAAGTCTGCCTTTTCAATTAAACCTATGAAAATATCTCTAAAATAAGGCTATGAATCTCTCTGAAGAGAAGATATATCCCTTTTCAGGAAATTTTGACTAATTCAGTATAACAGTGTGTCCCTTCAGAATGCTTAGGCTGCTAGAAAGCCCGTAAACACTGCAGAAAGAGAGAGGTCTTTCAAAACATGCTTACATTTTGCAAAAACTTCCTAATTTTAAACACTTCTATAAAGAAAATTCTAAAAGAAATCAGATCAAACGATAGCATCATGAACCCAAGTTGCACATCATATTTTGCAGGAGGACTATGAAGATTTAGCAACCTTACATCACAACAGATAATTGGATGGTCTTAAGGAAGACTATAGTGGAGAACCTTAAATGGGCATATTTTACCCAAGAATTCTCTCACAGTTAGTCATCATATGTATCCCTGCCATAAGACTGTCAGGTGGGCAGCTGTCTGGTGACTGTCTCAGAATAGCCTCTTCAGTAATAATAAAACTTTATTTATATTCCACTCTATCTCCCCAAAGGGAATCAGGGCGGATTCCAAACATAAAAGGCAAACATTCAGTGCCCGAATACAACAACAATGCATCCATGCTAACAAAATTCATACAACCCAACATATAAATACAAATTATAACTTAACAACCTAAAATTAAATAAAAAGCACAGCCTGTTATAACAGACATAAGACAGTAGCAGTTCTGCCATATAATGTTACCAGTGACTTAGGATATGTACTGATTTTGTTGAAATTTTGAATTGGACTTTTCTCACTTTGAAACTGAGAACCTCAGTTTATGGTCTACTCTTTTTTTTTTCCTGGGAAGCCCAGGACTATTGGTGATGTGGCCTTTGGAGCCTAATTTGATATATCCACACATTCTTCTCATATCACTGAAGACAAGGTGCATATGATGACACCCAACATCCCCAGTTGCTTTCTCCATCTGCTTGATACTTTAAAAAGTTTTGCCTGATGAAGGAATTGAAAGAGAATACCAAGATTTTTGTGCATTCTTGGTTAACCAAATAACATTATTATGCTACATGAACTTGTCTTGTGGTCAGCCTAGCTACCACCTGCCATTAGTTGTCCTAGGGCCCTTCCACACAGCCCTACATCCCAGAATATCAAGGCAGAAAATCCCACAATATCAGCTTTGAACTGGGTTATCTAAGTCCACACTCAGATAATGTGGGATTTTCTGGAAGGGCCCCATGTTGGAGTGCTTTAATTTCTAAAGAAGAAGTTGGGGTGATCATTATTGGATTAGCCCAGAAGTCTATGGGTGTATCTACACTGATCACTTAAGTCAGAATAGGCCTGGATCAGCTCAGTTGTTGGCCAAACACTATATGGAGCTCATCCAAGTCAACACGTGATAAAGGGCCCTTCAACACAGCCATATAACTCAGAATATCAAGGCAGAAAATCCCACAATATCTACTTTGAACTGGGTTATGTGAGTTCACACTACCATATATTCCAGTTCAAAACAGATATTGTGGGATTTTATTCAGCTGTGTGGGAGCGGCCAAAGTCAATAGCTTTTCAAACAGTCCCACGTCTTCTGTATGAGATGTCAGAGACTGAATCTAGGATGTTTAACATGCAAAATAGGTATTTTAGGTGTTAGCTATATTCAATGGAGTGACCTGTGTTTTCCTCTGTTTCTCATAGGTAGCCCATGTTATTCTCAAGGCTCATGCTCTAGCCTGGCATGTTTATAATACCCACTATCGTCCCAAGCAACACGGAAAGGTGGGAATAGTTCTGAATTCTGATTGGGCCGAACCAAAGAGTCCAGGAAGTGTGGAGGATATACGAGCAGCGGAACGCTACCTGAATTTCATGTTGGGCTGGTTTGCTCACCCCATCTTTGTTAACGGCGATTATCCAGATGTCCTGAAATCCCAGATTCAGCACATGAACCAGCAATGTTCTTCCCAAATTGCCCAACTTCCCACCTTCACTGAAGAAGAGAAGAGGTTGGTGAATGGGACAGCTGACTTCTTTGGCCTTTCTCATTACACTTCCAGGCTCATCAGTGCTTCAGCCAATCACACCTGTGTTCCAAGTTATGACAATATCGGGGGCTTTTCCCCCCAGGTGGATCCCTCTTGGCCACAGACAGCAGCACCTTGGATCTATGTGGTGCCCTGGGGATTGAGGAGACTGCTCCAATTTGTGTCCAAAGACTACACAGGTTCAAGGATCCCAATTTATATTGCAGAGAATGGTGCACCAGTTGACGATGGAAGTGATTTTAGCAATGACACCATGAGAATTGATTACTATCGTCTCTACATCAATGAGGTGTTAAAAGGTACAAAGGATTCTTCTGAATTGAGCTAATCATAGAAATAAAACTGTCACATGGTGTGATATTATATCACAGGCGAAAACCTTTTTATTCAGATTTTTAAGATGATGGTTTTTAAGATCAGTTTAGGGAGTGCTGTAGTTTTTAACTTCGATTGTGTTTTAATGATTTTTAACTGGGAATTTTTAAATTCTGTTTATATTTAATTCTGTTTTAATGTTTATTTATTTATTTATTTACTATGTTTATACCCTGCCTTTCTCAACCCCAAAGGGGACTCAAGATGGGCTTACATATTGGCAATTATTTAATGCCTTAGAGCAGGGGTCCTCAAACTATGGCCCGGGGGCCAAATGCGGCCCTCCAAGGTCATTTACCTGGCCCTTGCTCAGGGTCAACCTAAGTCTGAAACAACTTGAAAGCACACAATAACAACAACAACAATCCTATCTCATCAGCCAAAAGCAGGCCCACACTTCCCAATGAAATACTAATAAGTTTATATTTGTTAAAATTGTTTTCCATTTTAATTATTGTATTGTTCTAAAGTGTTTTTGCACTACAAATAAGATACATGCACTGTGCATAGGAATTCATTCATATTTTTTTTCAAATTATAACCCGGCCCTCCAACAGTTTGAGGGACAATGACCTGGCCCTCTGTGTAAAAAGTTTGTGGACCCCTGCCTTAGAGCGACAAACAATTCTACTGGCATTTAAAATAAAATTAAGATTAAAAGTTATAATACATATTAAACATTTTAAAACATTACATTCAATATTAAAATCATGCCATCCATCATCGTAGTCCAGGGCCGTTCCAATAGTCATTGCACATATTCCATATCTATTATTGCACTACAACTATTCTCCAAAGGCTTGATCCCAAAGCCATGTTTTCACTTTTCTTCTGAAGGCCAGGAGGGAGGGGGCTGATCTAATGTTTCTGAGGAGGAAATTCCACAACCATGGGGCCACTACCGAGAAGGCCCTTTATCCTGTCCCCACCAGTCGCGCCTGTGAATATGGGTGTCCCCATATTTTGCAAATTTATATATTTTAAATTGTATGCTGATGCTTTTATATTAAAACACTTTGAGTCTCTTGTGGGGGAAATAAAGCAGGTATAAATAAATATCATCATCATCATCACAGAAAGTTATTTAGCCCCTTACCATTCCTAGAGCAATATTCTCCAAGGTTGCTTGTACACTTTAGAACAGGAGTTGTCAAACTTTTTAAACAGCAGGCCAGGTCACAGTACCTCAAACTGTTGGAGGGCCGGATTATAATTTGAAAAAAGCATGAATTAATTCCTATGCACGCTGGACATATCTTATTTGTAGTGCAAAAAACAATACAATAATTAAAATGAAGAACAATTTTAATAAATATAAACTTATTAGTATTTCAATGGGAAGTCTGGGCCTGCTTTTGCCTGATGAGATAGGATTGTTGTTGTTGTTGTGTGCTTTCAAGCCATTTCAGATTTAGGTTGACCCTGAGCGAGGGTCGGGTAAATCTGGCCCCTGGGGCTTAGTTTGAGGACCCCTGCTTTAGAATAAATTCCACTGTTAAGATTGCTGGAGTATTTTTCCTTTGACTATCCTGGATGGATTACTATAACATACTCAATGGAGGGCTGTCTTGGAAAACTGGGCCTGATACTTCAGCAAGGTCAAAATGTTGCAGCTATTGATGTCTGGAGCTGATAATAAAGACCATATAATTCCCATATTTGAAACAGCTTCTCTGGCTACTAGTCAATTTCTGTGAGCACATCAAGGTGGTAGTGATGACTTATTTGGTTGAAGTTTAAGAGTAAAACAGTGGTTCTTAACCTGAGGGTGACAGACCACCACTGGGCTGTGAGGATGAAAATCTGGTCCACGAGCCTCCTTCCTCTTTTTTATTTTATTTTATTTTATTTTATTTATTTTATTTTATTTTATTTTATTTTATTTTATTTTATTTTATTTTATTTTATTTTATTTTATATTATTTTATTTTATTTTATTTTATTTTATTTTATTTTATTTTATTTTATTTTATTTTATTTTATTTTATTTTATTTTATTTTATTTTATTTCTGTTTCTTTTGTACCACCTGCCATTCCTTTCCTGTCGGTGACCATGGCATATGTTCTGTATCAGAAACTAGAGCTGATCTGGTCTATCCAATGTAATTTTCTGGTCAAAAAAAGGTTGAGAATCACTGATAGAAAAGCTGTGTTTCTCCATATAAGCCTACTAGAGAGCAATACAACCCCCATATCTGTGGGGAATATTATGTTCCAAGCCACCTATCCACCCTGGATATCTGAATACATAGATAATAACAAACCATATAATTTGACTATACTTGGGCTGGGAGCATATCATAGAACTGCAGTGGGGGAATACTGGGGGAGGGGAGGATATTTTCTGGAGTATGGTTGAAATGAAACCACGGTTATTGAACCCATGGATAAGGATGTCATTTATAGTTTATCTTTTGAATTAGATTGTGTCTTAAATGTGGAAAGAAATAATTAAATGTGTTAATTTTGATTCACTCCAACATGTTGGAAGTGCAAATTGCCTTCATCATATTCATGGAAGGGGAGTTAAGTTACGGTTATTATGAAAAGCTAACTAAGTTGTCTCTTCTTTCTTGTGACAGCTGTGAAGCTGGATGCTGTTGATGTTCAGTTGTATGTTGCCCGCTCTTTGATTGATGGCTTTGAAGGCGCAGCAGGTTACAGTCAAAGGTTTGGCCTTCACCATGTGAATTTTGATGACGCAAACAGACAACGGACACCAAAGAAATCTGCGTATTTTTTCTCAACTGTTATTGAAAACAATGGATTTCCTGATATGGTCACAAATAAAACTTTTCAGCATCTAAAAAATGATATTCCCATGCCACCAAGATTGCCTAGTTTACCAGCTTCTGAAGTTCCTTCAAAGGCAAAAGTGGTTTGGGAAAAATTTTCACAACAGACAAAACTAGAAAGAGATATATACTTTTATGGTACTTTCCCAGAAGATTTTCTGTGGGGTGTCTCTTCCTCTGCCTACCAGATTGAAGGAGGCTGGGATGCAGATGGAAAAGGCCCGAGCATATGGGATAATTTTACCCACACCCCTGGGAACATTAAAAATGATGAAACAGGAGATATAGCTTGTGATAGCTACAATAAAGCTGATGAAGATCTTTATTTACTGAGAGCATTAAGAGTGAACAGCTATCGCTTCTCCCTGTCATGGCCTCGAATTTTTCCAGATGGAAGAAACCGTTCCATAAATACATATGGAGTTAATTATTATAACCGGTTGATTGATGGTTTACTGGCCCAAAATATTACTCCAATGGTCACACTCTTCCACTGGGATCTGCCCCAGGCTCTGCAGGACATTGGGGGCTGGTTGAACCCTGAGATGGTTGAACTATTTGATAGTTATGCAGACTTTTGTTTTCACACTTTTGGAGACAGGGTCAAATTCTGGATGACTTTCAATGAACCAATCGCCATTTCATCTCTGGGCTATGATCTGGCAATGTTCCCACCAAATTACAAAGATGATCCAGGCTATGCACCCTATAAGGTGACCCACATAATATTGAAAGCTCATGCTAGAGCTTACCACACATATGACCAGAAATACAGAGCAACTCAAAAAGGTGTTGTTTCTTTGAGTCTCAACATGGACTGGGTTGAACCAGAGCCGCTGAATGACCCCCGAAATGTGGAGGCAGCCGATCGTTACCTGCAGTTTATGGGAGGGTGGTTTGCTCACCCTGTTTTCAAAAATGGAGATTACCCAGATGCCATGAAGTGGAAAGTAGGCAACCGGAGTGATCTGCAGAAACTACCATCTTCCCGGTTTCCTGTTTTCACAGCGGAAGAGAAAGAATATATCAAGGGCACAGCGGATGTCTTCTGCCTAAACTATTACACTACCAAACTCATAAAGCATAAGACCACCAAGCTAAGACCATTCTCCTATGAGGATGACCAAGAAAAGCTATTGGAGAATGACTCTTCCTGGCCTATCTCTGCAATAGACTACATGAGAGCAGTGTCCTGGGGACTTCGGAGATTGCTAAACTGGATCAAAGAAGAATATGGCAACCCTCCCATTTACATTACTGAGAATGGAGTTGGGCTGAAATCCAAGTCTGAGGTTGATGATACCAGCAAGATCTTTTTCTATAAAACCCACATTGATGAAGCTTTGAAAGGTAAGATCAGGGCCGGCCCGTCCATTACTCGAAGTAAGCGGTCGCGGAATACTTTTTTGCCAGGGGGCGCTGTTCTGTCCTTAGGCCACGCCTCCTCCTGCAGGCCCCATGCGCCCTCAACAGCCTTCTAATGGAGAAGCGCAGGCCCTGCCCACTAGGCGAGAGGGAAGTCCTCCCTCCACGTGCTGCCAGGAGGGAGGCAGCCAGCCAGGCTCTTTCGCTTTCCCTTTCCTTCCCTGCAGCTGAGCCTGGACCCCTCTCAGGGCAGCAAGGAGGCCTGGTCAAAAGGTACTGCAAATGTCATCTTTTGTACATGCCTCCCCCAAACCCCTCTAGTATTTTCTGTTAGTCATGGAAGTCCTGTATGCCAAGTTTGGTTCAATTCTATTGTTGGTGGAGCTCAGAATGTTCTTGGTGCTTGGTAAACTGCAATTCCCAAATGTCAGGGTCTATTTTTCCCAACCCCCTCTCCAGTATTTTCTGTTAGTCATGGAAGTCCTGTATGCCAAGTTTGGTTCAGTTCTATTATTGGTGGAGTTCAGAATGCTCTTTGGTGCTTGGTGAAGCATTCTCACCTGATGTTTCACCCACATCTATGGCAGGCATCCTCAAGAGGCTGTGAGGTCTGTTTGTAACTAGGCAAGTGGGGTTTGTATATCTGTGGAATGTCCAGGGTGGGAAAAAGAACTCATGTCTGCTTGATGTAAGTGTGAATGTTGCAATTGGTCATCTTGATGAGTATTTAATGGCCTTGCAGCTTCGAAGCCGAGCTAGTTGCTGCCCAGGAATCCTTTGTTGGGAGCGGTTAACTGGCCCTGATTGCTTCATGTCAGGAATTCCCCCCCCCCTTTTTAGTGTTGCTCTTTATTTATTGTTCTGATTTTAGAGGGTTATTTTAGAGGGTACTGGTAGCCAGATTTTGTTCCTCTGAGGTTGCTTGCCATAGATGTGGGGAAAATGTCAGGAGAGAATGCTTCTGGAACATGGCCATACAGCCCAGAAAACTCACAGCAACTCAGTGATTCTGGCCATGAAAGCCTTCCACAACACATTATTATGTTTATTTATACCCTGCTTTTTCTCTCCCCAAGAAGACTCAAGTTGGCTTAGATTAAAAACATTTCAGTACAGTTTAAAATCCACAAATATGCAAACATTAAAATGGAATTAAATATCATTGGTATTTTAAAAATTCAGTTAAAATCCATAAAAAACATATCCAAAACTAAAAACTGCAGCAGACCCTGACTTGATCTTTAAAACCTTTTAAAGCCTGCATTAGATTACCAAATGTAATGTCCCTTTATACACACTGCTTTATATTAATTTCCCCAGTATTCCTTTATCTGATTTGTCATCAACACACTTAATGGACTGCAAAAATATGATCCTGTGTGATTCCTTTCCATTGCTGGCCGAATAGTTTAAATTTGGATAATATTTTGACTTTGATATTTTAGCAATTACATTTTGCAGCAGTGTCTTTTGGGTTGCTAACTCTTGTCCTTCCACTTATCCTTCCATCAGTTCCAGGGCTCAATCCCAACTGCTGTTGGACGAGACACTATGGAGCTCTATATTTATATTTCCACAGTACAAAGTGGCAAAATCAAAGACTGCTTTGGGATTTTTTTTTAAAAAAATGTTTTCAAACCATGGATGGTTGAAGCAGTGGTTGCAGAACACCAACTGTGTAACACTGTCACTGTACGAGTAAAGCAACAACAAAATGCTCCCCTGCCCTTAGGTGTATAATTTAATTAAAACATGACACAAAGGCAAAGGGATGCCAGTGTGGGAAGGGATGAAGGGCCTGTCCAGACAGGCCCTATATCCCAGGATGTGATTGCAGGGTTTCTGTTTATCCTGGATTATCTGGCAGAGTGGACTCATATGATCCAGTTTAAAGCTGAAAACCTGGGATTTATTTATTTATTTGTCATGTCAGAACAACCAGTCAAATTATGTTACATTTCTAACAGAACAAAGCAAACAAGCAGATTACAAAATTTGTGAGTATGAGAGTTGATTAAATGTCCTTTGACCAGTATCTGGCCCCTTGGAGTGCCTCTGGTGTTGCCGCAAGAAGGTCCTCCCTTGTGCATGTGGCAGGGCTCAGGTTGCATTGCAGCAGGTGGTCAGTGGTTTGCTCCTCTCCACACTCGCACGTCGAGGATTCCACTTTGTGGCCCCATTTCTGAAGGTTGGCTCTGCATCTCGTGGTGTCCGAGCGCAGTCTGTTCAGCGCCTTCCAAGTCGCCCAGTCCTCTGTGTGCCCAGGGGGGAGTCTCTCATCTGGTATCAGCCATGGGCTGAGGTGCTGGGTTTGAGGCTGCCACTTTTGGACTCTCGCTTGCTGAGGTGTTCCAGCGAGTGTCTCTGTAGATCTTAGAAAACTATTTCTAGATTTAAGTCGTTGACGTGCTGGCTGATACCCAAACAGGGGATGAGCTGGAGATGTCTCTGCCTTGGTCCTTTCACTATTGGCCGCACTTCCCGGCGGATGTCAGGTGGCGCAATACCGGCTAGGCAGTATAATTTTTCCAGTGGTGTAGGGCGTAACCACCCTGTGATAATGCGGCATAGGCCTGTCTGGAAGGGCTCCATGGCTTCACATGCCACCTGTTTCTCCAAGGCCAAAGCAGTGGCAGTTGGATGGAAGGAGGGCTCTTCATCTGCTTCTGGGTCAAGCACATGCAAGAGCAAACTTCAGCCCTCCAGGTGTTTCGGACTTCAACTCCCACAATACCTAACAGCCGGTCTAGCAGTTTGTAATGTAATACAGGTTGAGTATCCCTGATCCAAAGTGCTTTGAACTAGAAGTGTGTAAATCACTTTGAGTCCTCCTGAGGGTGAGAAAAGCGGTATACAAATACTGTAAATAAATAAATAAAATGTTTGGGATCATGGGATAGCTGTTTACATACATAATGACACATTTCAAAGATAGCACCCAAGATGAAACACAAAAGAGGCATGCACGAGGCCTCTTTTCCCACGTGCCCGGCAATGCCGCTGCGCATCCCTCTCTCGGCATTAGGAAATGTGCGCCCTGCATCGCCCTCCTTCTCCATGCACTTCCTAACGCTGGGAGAAGGATGCACACTGGCGTTGTTGTCTCCCTTGGCCTGCAAGGAGGAGGAGGAAGGAGGACAACGTGCGCACTTGTGAGGGAAGGATGGAGGGAGAGCATGCTCCCTGCATGAGGGCTCTTTTTCCGTGCGCCTGGTAATGCCGGCGCGTGTCCCTCTCCCGGAGTTGCAAAGCGTGTGGGGGAAGAGAATGCAAAGCGCATACCCAGGAGCCGATGGAGCACAGGGCCTCTTCTCCTGTGTGAAGAGGGGCAGCATTGCAAGTGCCTCTCCAGGCAGCTGTGCCATCACCCCTCTCAGGGCGGCAAGGAGGTTTCTTCATGAACGGAAGTGACTGAAGGTACTGCAAATCTAAATTATTGTACATGTTTCCCCAAAACCCCTCCAGTATCAGAGTCTATTTTCCCCAAATCCCTTCAGTATTTTGTGTTGGAACTACATCAACACTGACAAAGAAACAACAAGAAATACTATTTACCCACAAGCATTAAGAAATTACATATATTAGAAACCAACTTTCTTATTACTTTCTTTTCAAGATCACTAGACTGGATCACAGCAACGCGTGGCAGGGGATGGCTAGTGTGTGTGTGTGTGTATGTATGGCTGGCATGGGCCAACTTCAGCCCTCCATGTGTTTTGGACTTCAATTCCCACAATTCCAAACAGCCAGTAGGAAGTCCTAAATACCTGGAGGGCCAAAATTTGTCCATGCCCCCATAGATAGATAGATAGATAGATAGATAGATAGATAGAAGAGATAGATAGATAGATAGTGATTGGTTTTGGGGGAGGGGGGGCGCCAAAATACTGTTTGCTTACCATTGAAAATTACCTAGGGCCGCCTCTGGTAAGATACTATACTTGAAGATCAATGCCCTCAGTAATCTCATTGTTTGTACCAAATAAAGCTAGCGCATTGTTCAATGTAACCACATAAATAAGGTTTAGTTTTAAGTATAACTGAAAGTTTCTAGAAGAGCAATTCCCAAAACATGTGCTGTGGTGGGACTTGAATGAAAAACTAATTTTTTACAAGATCTACATTTAGGAGTATCTGACAGTCCCTGAAATCCATTTGTTAGCCTCACTGTAGTAAACTCATTAAATCAATGGAACTTTCAAACATTTTGACTAAAAAATGTCCTATTCATTCACTTGTTCTTTTCGAGTTGGCACTAGAAGTAGGACTTAGCCCCGGATGCCTCTTTCTGATCAACATCTGGAGACACCTAGCTAGCTGTACTGTGTAATTTCATTAGAAGTGATGACGTCATTGAAAGAGGTGACCAATCCAAGGCCACCAAGTGTGTTCATGAATGGCCATCCAGCATTTTTTTGAAAATCTCAAGAGAAGGAGTTTCCACCACACCCTGAGGTAGTGCATCCCACTGTCAAACACCTTTTACCACCCTCCCAGATACTCTCAGTGGTATGCAGTTTCCCACCTCCTTACACTTTTGTTGTTCCAACAAAGTTGAGATACCATTTAAGCTTATGACTATCCCAAGTCAGGCCTACTGACTTCCGCAGTGATTCTTCATACATATAAAGATGGTGGTTTAGCTGTCAATATTTGGCCCATCTTCAGAAATGTTTTATTTATTTATTTATTTATTTACTTCACTTGTATACTGCTCTTCTCAGCCCTCAGGTGACTCAGAGCGGTTAACAACCAGTATCAACAACACAATACCATTAGTCATTTAAAACAGTAATATCAATTAATTAACATCAAGACATCAATACAACAATACAGCAGAATAACAATCCATCACGTCTCATCAATAGAATCAGCATCCGATCTCGTTGTCCATTAGTCCATATTCCAGTAATCAATCAATCAGTCAATTGCACTGCTTAGTTGAAAGCCTGTTCAAAGAGCCATGTCTTCACTCTCTTCCAGAATGCCAATAAGGAGGGGGCCAATCTGATGTCTGTAGGAAGGGCGTTCCACAGCTGAGGGGCCACTACTGAGAAGGCCCTGTCTCTCGTCCCCGCCAGGCGTGCTTGTGAAGCTGGCGGGATCGAGAGCAGGGCCTCCCCAGATGATCTTAACGTCCTAACTGGTTCATAGGAGGAGATGCATTCGGACAGATAGGTCGGGCCAGAACCGTTTAGGGCTTTAAAGGCTAAAGCCAGCACTTTGAATTGTGCCCGGTAGCAAATTGGCAGCCAGTGGAGCTGGTGCAACAGAGGAGTTGTATGCTCCCTGAGTGACACTCCTGTTAGCATCCTGGCTGCCGGTCGTTGGACCATTTGAAGCTTCCGAGCAGTCTTCAGAGGCAACCCCACGTAGAGAGCGTGCAGTAGTCTAAACGGGATGTAACCAGAGTGTGGACTACCGTGGCCAAGTCAGACTTCCCAAGGTACGGGCGCAGCTGGTGCACAAGTTTTAGCTGTGCGAATGCTCCCCTGGTCACCGCTGAAACCTGGGGTTCCAGGCTCAGCGATGAGTCCAAGATCACACCCAAACTGAGAACCTGCGTCTTCAGGGGGAGTGTAACCCCATCCAACACAGGCTGTAACCCTATAACCTGTTCAGCCTTACGACTGACCAGGAGTACCTCTGTCTTGCCTGGATTCAATTTCAATTGGTTCGCCCTCATCCAGACCGTTACAGCAGCCAAGCACCGGTTCATGCTTATATTTTACTGTTGATATACAACTGAGTAACTGTGTATGGATATATCTATTAAGGTGGTTACTGTCCTACAGTTATTTCCCACCTTCTTATATCTCCTTCAGCATAAAGAAATTGGCTATAAATAGTAAGCCATGAAAGTTTCTAACAATACATCTTAGCACTGTTTCTACTTCTGCTACTACACTGATTCAGGGCCCTTCTAGACAGGCCCTATATCCCAGGATCTGATCCCAATGTGATGGATGGATGGATGGGTGAGTGGATGGATAGATAGATAGATAGATAGATAGATAGATAGATAGATAGATAGATAGATAGATAGATAGGCAGGTAATGCATCACAGAGCACTTTTGCATCATTGGAAAATAGATAGGATAGATAGGAGGATAGATAAAAGGATAGATGGATAATTCTTTAAACTAGATCATATGAGTCCACACTGTCAGATAATCTGGGATAAACCGAAAGCTTGGGATCAAACTTGGGAAATAGGGCCTGTCTGGAAGGGCCTTCAGTCAACTTTGGTCTTTTTGAAACACAAAGCAATGCTAAAATTTAGTTTAAATATGCACTGAAATTTTGGGTTGGCATACTGCAATTTATTTTGAATTCTAAGTAGCAGATGTGAATTCTCATAAACATAATGTTTCATGTTTCACAATAAAACACAGTTTTGTAAATGTTTTAGTAAGAATTTTAGGGCTTTTTGTCAATTTTGAATAGGCATAAATATGGACTAGGAGATTGAAACAGAATGTTTATTTACTCCTCACCACATCCAAGCACCCAACCCCTGCTTTGCTGGAGAATTACTGACTATTTCTTCAATACTGCAATGATAAGGAAATCTTGAGAGTAAATCTCACTGAAATCAAGCAGATTTTCTTCTAGATTATCAAATTAAGGGTGAATCCATCCACATAAAAAGCATCAGCGTTTGGCAGAAGTTATAGCTATAGTTTCCAACCTAAGCACCCTAAAGTCACCAGATCCCATCTGATCTTTGAAGCTAAGCAAGGTTAGTCTTGATTAGAACTTGGATGGGAGCCCAGTAATGAATACTAGGTGCTTTTTTCCATGTCAGCAGTGACTTGAGAAACTGCAAGTCGCTTCTGGTGTGAGAAAATTGGCTGTTTGTAAGGATGTTGCCCAGGGGACGCCCTGATGTTTTACCATCCTGTGGGAGGCTTCTCTCATGTCCCCGCATGTGAAGCTGGAGCTGACAGATAGCAGCTCACCTCACTCCCCAAATTCGAACCATTGACCTTTTGGTCAGCAGTCTTGCCGGCAAAAGGGTGTAAGCCACTGTGGGCTCCAAACCAGGCTATATCTCAGAAGAATGAATGGAAAAATCACCTCTGTGTGTTCCTTGCCTAAGAACACCCTGTGGAATTAATTTGGTTGCCATAAGTCAAGAGGTCATTTGAAGGAACATACAGACCATAGCTGTACTTAATGCTGCCTCTTCCCTGGATATCCACACTATGAAGAGGGAAACTAAAAATGTACCTTTAACTGCTGAGTAGAAAAAAGGGACTTTTGCTTGTCTGGTTCACTGACAAGCAACAGGCTGAAATTCCTTGGTTCTACACAAACATAAGAGGTAAGAAGTCATCTCCATTTGACAACCCATTTGTTCCTGTCATGTTGATTTTCCTGTGTATTTCTCCATTTTATATGAATGTCTCCTTTTTATCCCTTTCCCCCCTCTCGTCTCAGGGCCATTTCCCAAGCAAATCAATTCTCAGTAAGGTCCCACTGTCTTCTCTATTACCAAGTTAACTCTTCCTGACACCATCTTCCTGGGGTCCCATTTTTAGACTCACATGCTTCATGCGCAAATTGTGGAAAAGCCTTGATTTTTTCCTTGCGCTGCCTTTTCAGTCCTGTATTCATGTATTGTTTATGAGATTAGATTCTGTTTTGGAAATAAAATGAAAACGATCACATGGATTCCTGTGAAAACATTTTTATTGCTACGTTGTTCGAATGTGTGAGAAAAGTTTGATCTATATACTTTTCTAGCACTAAGTGTCATTGAAGATAAGGTGACTTAATTTTTTTTCGTTTCCGGAGTGACTTGAGAAACTACAAGTCGCTTCTGGTCTGAGAGAATTAGCCGTCTGCAAGGATGTTGTCCAGTGGACGACCGGATGTTTTACCATCCTGTGGGAAGCTTCTCTCATGTCTCCGTATGGGAAGCTGGAGCTGACAGACTGGAGCTCACCCCACTCCCTCCCTGGATTTGAACCACCGACCTTTTGGTCAGCTGTCCTGTTGGCACAAGGGTTTAATCCATTCTACTACTAGGGTGCAATAGATCGATCAATCAATCAGTCAATCAATATCCTGTTTTTGCCAGCAAGGGATTCAATACAGCTTCGAATAAACATTATTCCATGCACTCTATGGTGTTACCTATCATTTTATATCATTCTAAAATAAAATTAATGACATCTTTTAGTGTTATATTCCAAAAATATATTTTTCTTCAAGTTTTTAATACACAGTCCTATGAACTTTGTTTGGAAGCAGTTCTAATAGTATTAATTGGCATTCATTTCTATATGAATAGAATTATTTTTTTCCAGTGTCACTGGAAAATCTGCATTTTAGGACCCTTCTACACAGCCATATAACCCAGAATATCAAGGCAGAAAATCCCACAATATTTGCTTTAAATTGAGTTATTTGAGTCCACACTGCCATATATTCTAGTTCAAAGCAGATAATGTGGGATTTTATTCAGTTGCGTGGAAGGGGCCTTTGAGATCCCTATTATCTGTGATTGGAAAGAAATGCCATTTAATTCACTGTTACTCTGGCCAGATGAGAAAGGACATGCTTGTTTCTTAACTCCTGACGAATGAATACATATTTATTCACAATTCCATTGTTTCTTTCTTAATTATTATTTTAGCTTCCAGCCTAGATGGAGTGAATCTTAAAGGCTATGTCGCTTGGTCTTTCTTGGATAGTTTTGAATGGTTAAATGGTTATGAGCCAAGATTTGGTCTCCACCAGGTGGATTTTGAGAAACCCAGCAGACCACGGACTCCCAGAACATCTGCTATATATTATGCAGAAATCATCCGTCAAAATGGAATTCCTTTGCCAAAAAGTGAAGAGTTCCTTTATGGGGAGTTTCCAAAGAACTTTTCTTGGAGTGTGGCATCAGCAGCTTATCAGGTTAGTAAATCATAGCTGGACTCCTATTGGTTAATCCTAATGAGAGCAAACCCATTGAAATAGTCATTCAATAGTGAGACAACACCTAGGCAAATCCATTTGATTCAATGGTCCAACTGAAGTCGGGAGTAACAATAGTGCTTGAATACAGATGCTTATTGAATCTTTTGTGAATAGTAATCCAAACATTAGCTTTGTGGAAAAGAAAACAATAAATTCTACCAAGCTGAGGCCTGGGAAGAGAAATGCAACTTTGAAATACAGTTAGTCTGGATACCAATTAATCTCTGGGGTGAAGGGGTTTAAGATTGGATAGACCCTGGCTCAAATTGTTATTGAACCATAGTGGTCACTTAGTGACCTCTGACCTGTCACATGTGCTGATTCACAGCCTAATTATCTGGACAGGTTAGTGAGGTTAAACCAGAAGGGAGGGTTATGTCCATTACCTTGAACTCCTTGGAGAAAAGAAAGAATATACTCTATGATTTATACCTTGTTTCATCAAAGACTGAAGGTGCCTGGAGAGCAGATGGGAAAGGGCTCAGCATTTGGGATCAGTTTGCTCACACGCCGTTGAAAATCAATAATGATGAAAATGGAGATATAGCTTGCGACAGCTACCACAAGATGGAGGAAGATGTGGCTATGTTGAAAGCCATCAAGGTGACTCATTATCGCTTTTCCATCTCCTGGCCTCGCGTTCTTCCTGATGGGACCACCAAACACATCAATGAAGCTGGCCTGAACTATTATGAGAAACTTGTGGATGCTCTCCTTGCAGCCAACATCCAGCCTCAGGTAAAAGCAGTAGTTAGTTCTATGCAGGTTACATCTGTCTATAAAGATACAATAATAATTAAACTTTGAATTTACTTAGGCTGTCCCTCATAGCTCGAGGATAATGGTCCTGCAAGTGTAGTGTATTGGCAGTGGGTTCATAGGTGGCTGTGGAGCCCTATTCTTGAACTGCATGTTCTCCCGCAGTGAGGACATTGGTTTCCAGATGGAAGGTGGTCCCAGTCAGGGTCGGCTTGACATGCCTTCCTCTTGGCATGTTTCTCCCTTTCGCCCACCGTTCGTGCCTCTTCGAATTCTGGAAGGTCACAGCTGACCTCCAGTTAGAGCGCTCAACGGCCAGGGCTTCCCAGTTCTCGGTGTCTATGCCATGATTGTTAAGGTTGACTTTAATTCCATCTTTAAATCTCTTTTCCTGTCCATCAACATTACATTTCCCATTATTGACTTGGGAGTTTAGTATACAGTAATAAATACATTTTGATTATACTAATTAGCAGTCTAGATAAATATGCTCAATGGTCCCATCAGAACTGATCCAACCATTAGGCAAACTGAGGCGGTATCTCAAGCGGCAGATTGTGGCAAGTTGTTAGAAGAGAGAGCTAAATGCAACATTTGTTGTTATTTAACCTATAAGTTGGCCTATTGCTTGCAGGTATGGTAGAATAAGTTGAATAAAAAGTCAAATGATAGTCCAAATCAACAATTATATATTATTATTAGCTTCAGATAGTAAAATCTTGAGCTGACCATTATTTGCAGATGTTTGGGCACTATAAATTAGTGAGAAATTCAGTTTGCATAATTAATACAAGCAGATGGAGGATATATTTATTTCATGTCAAAAGCATTGCATAAATAAGTATAAAACTGATAAAAAGTAGAAGGAGCACAAGGAGCTAAATAATTTTTGACCAAAACGGGCAACAGCGACTGCTGTCTGTAGCCTTAAACAAGTCTTCCTCTATGCATGAGGCAGGGCATTGTGGGCATTGGCAAGCATACAGATATGGAGTTGTTTGTTCTACTCCACGATCACACAAGGTGGAGGATTCTTCTAGGTAGTGCCATTTTGCTAGTTTGTCTTTTGGTCTACCCATTCCGCTTCTGAGCCTGTTCAGGGACTTCCAAGTTGCCCATTCTTGGTTTGCCCCTGGAGGCGGACCCTCATGGGGTGGGGAAGATCCAGTTGGAATTGCCTGATTTTGCTGCCACAGGGATATCCTTGCTGTTGCTGGAGGAACACTTAGAGGAGTGGTGGCTCTCACTTTTCCTTAAATTAAGTCTACTGGTAGCCATGCAGTGAATGGCTTTCACAGTGTTCACTGAAAGAGCCTCCTCAAAGACTGAGTAAATACAGCCGGGCGTCCCCTGGTCAATGTTTCTTGTAAACGGCTAATCCTTCCAAACCCAAAAGCATTGCTTTGAAACATTAAGATGGAGGCTAAAAACATCATACTGTAACCAGAAGAATCAAACTCTGCAAGGGGTACTTCTTAAACTGAAGACTATTCATGTTGTCTGTCTGTTACAAAGATTCTGAGATATATTGATACTTCCAATGTTAAACCTTCAGGAGTTTAAGAAATTGTGGATATAGTTGTAATCTTTGTTGAAGGATTGGCCATGGAAATCCACTTCTCTGTCTTGGACACATTTCAAGTGGGAAGTTGCTTTGGAGTGTTATTTTGGGTGAATGGCCAGATAAAGAGGCCAATAAATGTCTACCTGCTTTAGATGTTCTACTTTTGATTCCAAGATGGGAACCTTTCACAAAAAACTGTAGCCTTATGATATCTTGACTCATTAATAGTCCTGTCTGTACTGCAAAATCAATTCTATTCCATGTTCCTTTTCTTTCCCTCCTGGCTTGAAATTGGAACCAGGAAAGAAGACAGGAAGGGAAAATGGAAAGATTAAAGTCATCAGGTTTTTGGCCTTATGTTCAACTGTTGTCAAAGGTAGCTAAGAACTATCTTTGTAAAACTACCGCCCTGAAACCTGTAATTTTAAAATCCTTTCACACTATACAGTAATAGGACTATAATTCCCCTTTATCTTCCATGGCAGAAACCTGTGCAGTGCTGGATTTTGTAGGAACTCTGACTGATGATTCTAAATGCCTCTTCCAAAACTGTCCTTATTTTCCGGTTGCAGTATAAGAGTATTTTTTCAGCTGAGCATTACAGATTAAATCCAGGATATTAGAGAATATTTAAAGATATATGGAGTAACTTTGATAGAAGAGAGGGGTCAAGGAATGTCCACCCAGTGGAAGGACACCATGGATACAACACCCATATATTTCTACAATCTGGTTAGCAGTTGCAACTGTTTTATAACATTACATAAAGCTTTCGTCATTCATATCCTACATATTTTCACCCCTACTATGATAAGTTAACTAAGTAACTTACCAAAATGTCATATATTTGTACGTGTGTCTTTCCATTTTTAGGTCACTATATACCACTGGGACCTTCCTCAGGCTCTTCAAGAAGTTGGCGGGTGGGAAAATTCAACCATAGTCCAGAGATTTAAAGACTACGCAGAGCTTCTTTTCCAAAGGCTTGGTGAGAAGGTGAAATTTTGGATTACCTTGAATGAGCCCTATGCTGTTGCTAATATTGGTTATGGTTATGGAGTATCTGCACCAGGTAAGATGTAGGATGTGAATAATTTGCTTACTTTGTTCTGATCTGCAGCAACAGGGGTGCTTTGGAAGATCAGAAGATGCTGATCTTTGGTGGTTTCCTGCAAGAGAATATTTTTGTATTCAAGACTTTGTATCCATACACACCGGATGCAGGAAATGTGGGGATCGTGTATAATGACAGTGGTTTTTGTCACTCAGCATTTCAGAAACAAAGTCATTGAGATTTCTAGAAGCACTTCATCAAGTCAGTTCTTCAGACTTGCCCCGGTTATTAGCTTCAGGTCATTTAGGGCTTTAAATGTCATTGCCAATACCTGGGAGCATATTGGCGACTTGTGCAATTAATTTGAAACCAATGTTGTATGCTACCAAGACAATATTCCATTCAGCTGTCTAGCTGCTACATTTGGACTAGCAGCAGTTTCTGAGTTGTATTACAATAATCTAACTGAGAAGTTATCAGTATATGTGACTTAAGTCATCCCTGCCCAGCCGGTAGCCAGTGCCAAGCACTCAGAACCAATGAGTCAACTTCGGTAGTTCATGTTAAACATGGATTTAAGAATACTCCCCGTGCTACCCTATATGCTCATGTATAAGTCTAGTAATCTTAGCCATGAGTCATTGTGAGAATTGTACCCTGACTCTTACCGATAAGGAAATATTCCCTTCTCTGAATAAAGTGGCAAAAGACAAGAGCCTAATCCATTCTGAGATAACCTAAGAAAAGTACCAAGCCTTCTACCCTCCCCGTCATGGACCATTTCTGGCCTTTTGAGGTGACTGGGCAGGGAAATGGCAGTGGTTGCCAAGGGCAGATGGCTCCCTGAAGTGGCATCTCCATAAAATGATCCTTCACTTATCCATGGGTCAAATCAAAATCCTTAATTTTGGACCTATATACTCATGCCTTATTCATGAGTGTATGACAAGTATTGAGTAAATATTAGCACCCTGTGGGGGAGTGCAACTCCATCCAAAGCAGGTTGCTTACTAGGCTCCCAGGTCTGATAACCACCAGTCCACAGAGCTTCCATCTGACTAGATTCCCAGAGATATTGAACAACAGGAGGGACAAAATGGAGGCCTGTGACACATCACAGTTTAATGGCCGCAGTGCTGAATGGGAATCCCTCAATGCTACTCCATGGAATCAGTTTTGTTATACCACTATTTACTTATTTATTTGTGATATTTCAATCCCGCCTTTCTCAATCCTGAAGGCAACTCAAGGCAGCTTACACCAAGTTTGAACATTGAGGCTGAATATAAGCAGCCTTGAGTCCCAGGACTGTAGAAAGGCTGAGACATAAAGAAAATGATTAATATATTATTAGTACAGATAGTATTAGTATTTGTGTTAAAAGTGTATTAGTATTTGTGTTAAATTGTGTCCCTAGGCACGATATTGATAGTGCCCCTATATTGGAGTTGACCTCAGGCAGCACGTACATGGGTATAATGAAAGAACAGCAAATGGTTAATTTTATTCCCTTTGCTGTTATATTTTTCCTGCTAGTGGTTGGAGGAATTAGTGTGCACCTCACATGTCTAATACTCAAGCAGCCTTGGGTACTATGCCCCATCCTTGGAATAGGGAAATGCATTTATTGTTCTGCCTGAGGCAACAACACAAATTAGGACAGCTCGGTCCACAGGGGTGAGATCTGTAACTGTATCTTTTACTATAATTGGTTGGGAAAAACCTTTCTTTTATGCCTCTGAATGTTCAATCCTAGGCAAATGATGGGTGGAAATCGATCCATGGAGACTACATGTATTAAGCAAACTCATTCTTAATTATGTTTCTGACCGTGTAAGCAAACTCACTCTTAATTATGTTTCTGGGAGCTTTGTGCACTACCAACCATGTAGTTAAAATGATAATGAGACATGTCCAGTGAAAGAAAGAGATTATTTGATCAGTTTCTTGAGGGCTTCTCCTTTCAGAAAGCCAACAACGTGGAATGATTGGACTGTCCAATTAAGAAGTACTACCAACTCTTGCTCCAGCTGATTCCAATCTTGCTGCATAATCCCTTTTCTAATATCACTATCTGTCCAGGTATTTCTGCCAGACCAGGGCGAGCCCCTTATATTGTGGGGCACAACTTGATCAAAGCTCACGCTGAAGTTTGGCATCTCTACAACGAAACGTATCGTCCAAAACAAAAAGGTTTGATTTCTCTTTCCATGAGTTCAGAGTGGGCTGAACCAAAGAACCCCTATAAGCAGGAGGACATTGATGCTGCAAGGAGACATGTTCAGGTAATGTAATGACCCTGTACCTTCCAGCACAACCTGTGGCCTTCCAGATGTGTGGGATTCCAACTCCCAGAAGCCCTAGCTAGCTTGTCCAGTGGTCAGAATTTCTGGGAGCTGAAGTCCAAATCACCTGAAAGGCCAGAGGTTGTGCAAGCATAATCTAACACAATGGCCTTCGCCTTGGCCGGCTATGATTTGAGATGCAGCCCAACAGTATATTTGAATGCTTCACACAGTTTGGGAAATCGTGATTTTACAGGTGATGATGACAATCTTGGGTGCTTAGAATACTCCCATTTTGATGACATTCATTTATTTTGTAGCAGTCTGACTTTAAAGCATAAAGAGTGGATTTTCTTTTGGTTTAATTAAAATCAGAAGCAGAGAATCCCAGTTCAGGCATTCAGTAAACAATGAATATCATTAATATTTTCTCCTTTACTTGCAGAGTGCCACCAAAGCCTGATATCTGATCAGCCTTAGGCTAGAAATCAATGAGGTTATTGCCCTCATTTGGGGGTGGGGGGGTTGCACATATACATCCATTCTTACACAGGCTCAATTCACACAGATGCTGGTTACAGTTTGCTTAGGCATATATGAATGGTCAACATGTCAGCCTAAAGAACAGTTTGGTGGAAGTGCAGCATGCAGGTCATTTGCTGCTCTCCAGACCCACTTTTGCAGTACCAGAAACCCACTGCCATTCCCTCAAATGGATTTTCAGGAGAATTTTAACCCCCAAATCATGGAATACATCCCAGATCACTCAGTCCTGGCAGACTGTCTTCTCCCACAACCTCCCAAATTCCAGATGAAAAAGAACCCTAGGCAAATGGCTCTAGTTTGCCAAAAACATGGTATCACTTTCAATGCAGCCTGTTAAGGGTTGGGAGCTTGTTGTCTCTACTCTCTGTCCAATTGCTCAACCATAATCTAAAGAAAGGGGCTTGTACAGCCTTGGGAGGGCCTTCAGAAATTAGTGATTGTCAAATGTGTTCATCTATATATATAAATCTGTTAGGTTGGTTCAACCGGACAGCAAAACTCCACAACCCCCCAACGAAACTTAACCAAAATTCCCATGCCCATAACACAACCCACAAGGTACAAACATATCTACTCAAAATGAAAAACAACACAACAACACACTCACAAAACGGCAAAACAACAAAACTCAAAACCCAACGAAACTTAACCAAAATTCCCATGCCCATAACACAACCCACAAGGTACAAACATATCTACTCAAAATGAAAAACAACACAACAACACACTCACAAAACGGCAAAACAACAAAACTCAAAAAACCCCCAACGAAACTTAACCAAAATTTCCATGCCCATAACACAACCCACAAGGTACAAACATATCTACTCAAAATGAAGAACAACACAACAACACACTCACAAAATGGCAAAACAACTGAGCATGCGCATTGGCGCCCAGCCGCAAGTTCCCTGGCGCGCGCACACAGCCTTCCGGCCAACGTTCCCTCTGCGGAAGCCATGCCCACTCCAAGCCCCGCCGCACCGCTTCCCGCACACACACCCACACACACAACCCCACACTCCATCACTCTCCCCGCCGCCGCACACACACACGCAACCCCACGCTCCATCACTCCCCCCACCGCCGCACACACACGCAACCCCACTCCCCCCGCCGCCGCACACACACACGCAACCCCACACTCCCTCACCTCCCCCGCCCCCACACACACGCAACCCCACTCCCCCCGCCACACACACACGCAACCCCACGCTCCATCACTCCCCCCGCCGCTGCACACACACACGCAACCCCACGCTCCATCACTCCCCCCCGCCGCCGCACACACACACACAACCCCGCTCCATCACTCCCCTGCCCCATTCTTACCTCCTTTTACTTCACGCCACCTCCAAACCCCACCCCGCCCCTTCCCGCCCTGTCAAAATCCAGGAAAGACAGGAAGGAAGGAAAGAAGGAAGAAAGAGAAAGGGAGGTAAAGAAAAAGGAGGAAGGAAGGAAAGTTAGAGAAAGAAGGAAGAAGAAAAGGAAAGAAAAGGAAAGATGGAAGGAAAGAAAAGAGAGACAGCAGAAGAGAAAGAAAAAGGGGGAAAGAAGGAAAGAGGTAGAGAAGGAAGAAATTAGAGACAGGGAGTACCTCCTTTTACTTCACGCCACCTCCAAACCCCACCCCGAAAGGAAAGAGAGAAGGAAGAAAAGAGACCAGAAGAGAAAGAAAAAGGGGGAAGGAAGGAAGGAGAGAAGGAAAGAAAAAAGGGAATGAAGGAAGGAAAGAGGGAGTGAAGGAAGGGGGAAGATGTAGAGAAAGAGGGAGGGAAGGAAAGAAGGAAAGAGAGAAGGAAGAAAAGAGACCAGAAGAGAAAGAAAAAGGGGGAAGGAAGGAAAGAGATAGAGAAGGAAGAGGAGAAGGAAAGATGGGAGGAAAGGAAGGAAGGAAGGAAGGAAGGAAGGAAGGAAGGAAGGAAGGAAGGAGGGAAAGAAGGAGAGAAAGAGGGACGGTTGGCCACAGCAACACGTGGCGGGTAAAGGTTGTTATTTCTATTATTATTATGCTATTATTCCTATTAGACCCTGGGGGAATGGGAGAGGTGTCAGGTCCCAGAGGCAATGCATTGCATTATTGTTATTGTTATGATGGTGGTGAAATAAAAGGAAATAAAAAGTGAAAGAAGGAAGCAAACAGGGAGGGAAGAAAGGCAAAGGAAGAAAGGGGGAGGGAATGAAGGAAAGAGAGAAGAATGAAACCAAGTAGTGAAAGAAAGAAAGAGGTAGAGAAGGAAGAAAGGAGAGAAAGGGGGAGGAAAAGGGGGAAGGAATAGGTAGGTACCTCTCTTTCATAATAGTCTAGATATCTACCTCAACTTTGATAAGTTTTACTATAGGCCACAGCAACGCGTGGCAGGGCACAGCTAGTAGGCTTATATAGTAAAGACACAAATGTCAACAATTTAGACTTACCTGAGAGTTAGCCCCACTGAATGGCATGAGACTTGCTTCCAAGCAAAAATGTATTGGAACGCATCTATCAGCCCTTGCAACAGGTTGATAGTGCAAGAAAGAGATACCATGAGGTCTTGGAGGAAAGAGCATTGGATCATCCATGGTAGCTAGTTGCTGGGTGCTCTGTGAGAGGCAGAAGCCAAGGACCAACATCTACATGTAGCTATGGATATGCACTTCAGTATCCACTCATCACCTGGAAGTTAAGGAGCCCCCGGTGGCACAATGGGTTAAATCCTTGTGCTGGCAGGACTGATGATCAAAAGGTCTGCAGTTCAAATCCAGGGAGCAGGGTGAGCTGCCCTCTGTCAGCTCCAGCTTCCCATGTGGGGACATGAGAGAGGCCTCCAACAGGATGGTAAAACATCCGGGCATCCCCTGGGCAACATCTTTGCAGACAGCCAATTCGTTCACACCAGAAATGACTTGCAGTTTCTCAAGTTGCTTCTGACCCACACAAAAATACCCTGGTAGCTGTCAGGCTCTACTGCTACTGCCACGTTTCAGTCATGTATGGTACTACTTCAAGCTCACTAGAAGAGTAATGTTAGCATCAAATCTTCCGGTTCACTTGCCATTGCTGGATGCTGTGCTGTCTCTTTAAACCTCATCTACAGAGAGAGAGAGTTGTGAGTCTTTGCCTTTGTTTCTGTAGAATTGGTAATGATAGGCTTTACTTTGACTTCTTATTGCAAAACAGATATATACAATCACCCTTGACATGTTATTTTCTTGTCATAGTTCTATGTTGGTTGGTTTGCTCACCCGATCTTCAAAAACGGTGACTATAGTGAGCTGATGAAAAGGAGGATACAGGAGAAAAGCCAGGGCCAATCACGGTATTTATTTACTTGAAACGTTTTTATCCCATTGTTCAAAACAATCGATAAAACAAGACAGCTTTTGTTTGCAAGCATACATACAAAGAGTCACAACACACAAAAAGGGAAAGGGATCCAGAGGGAGGAAGAAAAGATCAATTTCAGGCATTCACTCTGGTTCTTTTTATGACCAACTGTGGTGGAAATACTTCAGTGAGAGGTGCAGCTGAATGAAGCTAATCTTCCAGTAAAAACTGATGAAGCATCCCTGTTTCTCTTCCCTGTTTACCAAAGAAAAGCTACAAGATGAGAAAGGATCCTTGAATTACAGTATGTAAGCCAACAGTCTCAGGTCCACAGGCCAATTTTGTAATAGATGATAGACAAACAAACAAGGGAAAAACCACAACGGTAAAGTCCAATATGTTCAAGAGATAAAATATAGTGGCAGTCAGAAATGGATGGAGTGTGAGACAGACTGAATAAGGCCGTAGTTCTCAACCTGTGGGTCCCCAGATGTTTTGGCCTTCAACTCCCAGAAATCCTAACAGCTGGTAAACTGGATGGGATTTCTGAGAGTGGTAGGCCAAAACACCTGGGGACCCACAGGTTGAGAACCACTGGAATAAAGTGATGGCCTACTGCTGAAAACAATGGAGGACAGGACAACCCAGGCTGAAAAGATTTGATGGATCACAACCTATGAAGATGTGATCTGAAAAGCATGTCAGTGGGGAATTACCAAAATCATAAGCATGGAATGGATGGGAAGCAATGCCATCAGTGCTTGGTTTTTGCATGTGAAAAATGTTCATGAATGTTGCCTGTGTTGATATGTAACATTGATACATATCATTAATGTTGCTTGACATCATTATACTTCTGTATTGTTGTTTGCATGTGGCACTTGGAGTGCTTCTGTGAAGCGGCCCAAGTCACTTTGGGAAGATGGTAGTGGGATACAAATAATAATAATAATAATAATAATAATAATAATAATAATAATATTAATAATATCAACACCATCATCATCATTATCATAGCAATTGATGGGAAGGCTTTACCAATTGTTACCTTAAATCTTGGGGACTGTTAGAGCTGAATGTTATGCTTCTCCCCTTTGGGCACAATGAAATATATGTGCAGCCATTTATTGGTGTTTATGTGCTATATTTCTTCTATAAAAGATATCTTTATGATTCTAAAAGGAAAGTTGATAGAGTTAAACTAATAAGCATGTTAACATATTGATAAATGTATAGTTTATAAGGCTCTTCACCTTTTTGTTTGGTTGATGTAGCCTCCCTGAATTTACTGAAAGTGAAAAACAGAGGATAAAAGGCACCTATGACTTTTTTGGTCTGAACCATTACACTACAGTACTGGCATCCAACTTAAACTATCCTGCATTTTTGACATCCTACGATGCTGATAGGTAAGTGATATACAAAACTAATGATTAGAGGTTGTGTCAAATGGATTGTTGTATATTTGTTCAGTCACTAACCTCATGGACCAGCCCATTCCAGATCTCCCTGTCGGCCATCACCACCCCCAGCTCCTTCAGAGTCAAGCCAGTCACAGTCACTTCAAGGATATCATTCATCCATCTTGCCCTTAGTCAGCCATTCTTCCTTTTTCCTTCAATTTTCCCCATCATCATTATCTCCTCCAAGCTTTCCTGTCTTCTCATTATGTGGCCAAAGTACTTCATCTTTGCCTCTAATATCCTTCACTCCAGTGAGCAGTCAGGCTTTATTTCCTGGAGTATGGACTGGTTTGAACTTCATGCCGTCAAATGGTTATCACGTTTATTTAATAAGCATTCATAACCCTAGCCCTAACAATGGTTTTTAATTGTTTTGATGCATTTTATAATGATATTTAAAATGCTCATTTTAATTGTATATTGTTTTTAATGGCATTGGATAGTTTCCTATGTGTAAAACTGCCTTGAGTCCCCTTTGGGATTGAGAAAGGTGGGGTAGAGATGTCAACAACAACAACAACAACAACAACGATGATGATGATTCTGGGAGCCCAAAAACAAACCATTAGAACAAATGCCATTGAAATCAGAATTGAAAAGTCAACAACAGATCCCAAATGTAGACTCTGCAAGGAAGCAGATGAAACAATAGATCACATCCTCAGCTGCTGCAAGAAGATTGCGCAGACAGAGGCATAACACTGTTGCTACAAGCAGAGGCATAACACTGTTGCTCAGATGATTAATTGCAACTTGTGCTACAAATACCATCTGCCTGCGACAAAGAACTGGTGGGATCACAAACCGGAAAAAATTACAGAGAATGAACACGCCAGTCTCCTCTGGGACTTCCAGATTCAGACAGACAGAGTTTTGGAGCACAATACTCCTGACCTTACAATCGAGTTAAAAAACAAAGTATAGATTGTCGATGTTGCAATCCTAGGTGACAACAAGATTGAAGAGAAACAACTGGAAAAGCTGACACAATATGAGGATTTAAAGATCGAACTGCAAAGACTCTGGTACAAGACAGTAAAGGTGGTTCCAGTGGTGATCGGCACACTGGGTGCAGTGCCTAAAGACCTTGGCCTGCACTTAAAACACAATCAGTGCTGACAAAACTACCATCTGCTAGCTGCAAAAGGCTACCCTACTGGGATCTGCACACATTATTCGCTGATACATCACACAGTCCTAGACACTTGGAAAGTGTCCTGATGTGTGATCCAATACAACAGCCAGCAGAGTGATCTTGTCTGCTGTGGACTCATCTTGTTGTGTTTCTAATAATAATAATAATAATAATAATAATAATAATAATAATAATAGGAGTTTGCCATTGGCTTACTCTGTGACTGAGTGCAACTTGAACCAGTGGCCGAACAAAGGATTTAAACTTCAGAGTTGCAGTCAGTTTCCATACTACTATACCACACTGACCTCTCATCAAAATGCTAATTTATCATCTATATCTATATCTATCTATCTATATCTATATCTATATCTATATCTATATATATAATAAAGAAGAGTGTTTGTATCGGACAGAGGAATTGTGGAGGGCGGTGTATGTGGCAGCGTTCTGATTGGCTGCCGCTGTGGTGCTATTTGCATATGGTCTCTGATTGGCCAGCTTCAATAGGAGCCCCTGGTGGAGAAGAGGGTTCATGGCAGAAACGGGGCATGACAGAAGGAAATTTGCATATGGTCTCTGATTGGCCAGCCTCAAATCCAACATTCCGAGATGAGAAAGAGAGGAAAGGAAAGGCGGGGCTGGGTCAGAACACTCCCAATACAGCCCGAAATAGGCACACAGAGCCCCCATAACCACTCTACATCCTACTGCAGTTTGGAGGAGTATGAACCATGGATGATGGGACTTGCAGTACCACCACTCACATTCTGAGACCGCTGTTAGCCTTATCCAATGACTGATCAGGACCAAACTTCGCACAGAGACCTCTCATGACCCACTTTACGTCCTGATGTGGTTTGGCCAGGGATGGACCGTGGATTATGGGACTTGCAGTACCATTGCTTAATTCTTCATACCACTGCAACGCTCATCCAATTACCGATAAAGACCAAACTTGGCACACAGAGTCCCCATGACCCACTCTACATCCTGGTGCACTTTTGAGGAGGACAGACCATGGATGATGGTACTTGAAGTACCT